TTACATAATGTATAGCGTCTACAAGTGATAGTTTTAGAGTTAGAACAATAAAAATGTCTATGTTGTTCACCACAAATATATATATATATACATATGTGGTGAAATGGAAGAAATATTAAATTATATCATAAGAACAGACACGCCATCATCACTCGAATATAACGGCGTACGGCCGTATATAAAAACTGGTGTTCCGCATGCTCACAAAATAATAATGTTATATGTTTGCTATGATGGTACAAGATATAGAAAAATGATGCTACTAACTCTCGTCTTTACGTATCGTGAGTCTTAGATCCTGTATGTTACTAATCGGTGATTTTAGGCGTTGTCCTGAAATGCCCAATTTAAGGACATGTACCACAAAACTTACATAACGCATATGGTGTATATATATACGTATAGATATTTGTACGAACTGCGCGTACTCACCTCTGGTCGGTTCGCTTCTACAGAAGGCGATGGATGATACTAAGATAATTATTTTGATTTTGCTGCTGTGGTTGCTGTCGCGGTCGTTCCTTCGGATCAAGTTGCCAATTTGCTATCACAATGAGGCAATCGCCTGATCACTTTCCGTCACTACTCTTGTTTCATATACTCCAGTCTTTTGCACTGCTCTTAAGACTCCCAAGGAGCCCGTCTGTTGCTTGCTCGATTTTTCAGCCCTCGGTCTCGTTGTTCTCTCCGACAGTTTCGAACTCTGACAACTCGGCTCCGGCGAGCAGCGAGCGACGGTGCAGTACTTGCATTCACGTTGTGCGTTCGTCTCAGGAACAAGGAACACTCTTCCAAAATGGCGGCTAGGAGCGCGAGGGCTGCTAACTGTGAGACTCCATTTGAGTCCACGAGTAGGTCGTGTGTGTAAGGGGCAGCTCCGTGGGTGACGGGGGTAAAGCTGGTGCACACGACGGCGGTGGTAATTATCCACTACGGTATTCGCCTATATATCAATATGTAGGTATATGTCAAAAACATAGGAGAAACTAATGCTAATGCTCCTGACTTCGCTGTATTTAAGGGAACAGATCAATTTTTGAGCCAATGAAAAAGGTTTGGGTTGTTTGAGTGGGAAGCATGAGAGAGTATTGTTCCCCTTTAGCCTGTGTATATACCTGACGTATGTAGCGTATGTATACACGTGCAAAATGTCAAACATGGGATCCGTTTTCTAATTCATTTTATTTTGGAATAAATATAAACTTACTTCCTTTTCTATTAAGTAAATTATTAATATTATTGATATTTAGACTGAGTGACCGTCGCCTCTCGAACTTGTATGAAAAGGAAACGTATGCTTTTCCAATACATGATATTACATATGAGCTGCGCTACACAAAATTTCTGAATTAGCCCGATCTCTAGATGGACGGATATACCCACGATTTCGCCAGAGTTTTTAGACTAATAGAAATGTGGTATCACGACTGCCTCACAGTGTCCGTACCGTACGTAAGATGTATCGTAAAATCAAACTACGTAGGAAATATAATTAAAATTGTAACATCTATAATAACAGTTAGAGTAGAGAATTTATCAACGATTCTTAGTCTGTATTCTTGCTTCGATAGTTTTGCGCAGCACAAACATAGAATTTATTGCAACGCACTATCATAGTCCAACAATAAAGCAAAAAGCATCATAAATGAAGCACCATTAGTGGCTTACTCGAAGCCCTCTAAAGCGCGATAGAAGCTAAGAAAATAGATCAAAAAGCTCTACTATCAGAGCAACGATGGCCGACATATATGCCCGTCAGAAGTTAACAACGTTCGTTGCGTAGTCAGCTAATCATAACCGATTCTGTCAAGCTCTGCTGTAAACATCGAGGGCAATGTTATTGAAAAATCCTTATCGTTATACTTGGTCAACGCTGTTGGACACGATGGCCTTTCTCCCACGACCAGCGTCTGCTTACATCTATTGTGAGTGCTGAACTTCATTTCTGTTCAGGCGCGACCTCTCTAACAACCGATCCTAAAAATTAGTTTGAAGCAACGCGAATGGACCGCGTTACAGATCTCGACTCTAAGGAATTGCCGCTGCTTCAAATGGTCGGTAATACATTTTAGTAAAATTTTGTTCCTTGGATACTGCCCAGAGAGAAACCTTCATAGTCTGTAATTTCGGGGCTCTTGATTCATCGAATGTTCCCCTACATTTGGTGGATTAGTGATATTTTAGGTGCATGGACCAGCCTCATTTGCTTGTTGTATACAGTTTCCAGGCAGGTGAAGGGTTTTCGAATTGTAAACTAGATGTTCTTATTCATAAAGCACTGCGCCTGAATTCGCGACCAACCTTGAAGGCGGTCAGATGACCTTTTTGTGAAGGCTAATTGCGCATTTCAGCTGCCTTCAGTGAAAATTCCTCTTTCGAAGGGTTGCTGGCGAGATAGATTCTGCAACGAAGGCTTTTAATTTACAAGACACATACACATATCCGCCTGTGAGTCAACACATGGTACTTCGATGTATGGCTAGGTTGAAATCCCGTAAACTTGCTAAAATGGGTCCTTCCAGGTCCTCCTTTGTTATCATACGATATCGGTTTTCCGACCATCGTTGTCATGATGCTCAAGCTTTATGGTTTCTTGTCGCGCGTTGGAAGTAGCCGATGAAGCTGCTTATAATGTTCGAGCCTTTGAATTTATCGCGTTAAAAGGCATCAACCAAATCGCTTAGAGTCAACAGCGCTGCCGCCAAGTTACAACCCGCCAATCGTATACCTATATTTATACATTGCAACAATAACGAGGTTTGACTGCTGAAGACTGATGATTAACTCGCTGGCGGTAGGGTGTAACGACTCACAGTTGGGTGGAATTAAGAATACATTTATGGTAATTTTGTTCTCGGCGCTTCACCAAGGCTCAACCCTCGGCAGCAGCTTCCGTGACGTGTGGAGGTGCTGGCGTAGGGGATTGACCGTTTTAGCTGTCACGAGGTACAAGACCATATGTCTACACAAAACTGGCGTGCCCTCGTGACGCGGGCAATCATGGCTCCGTTCTCGACATTCCCCGTCGATACGACAAGTCGAGAATCTACATTACTCAGACGCACCCCCGCTGATTATCGGTGACTCTTCGTTGTTGTCCCCTAGCGTATAAGGCCGTATATATATATATATATATATATATATATATATATATATAAGGGATCTATTTATATGGTCTGAGTTTAATGTGAGATAATCTAGAAGCTCGAGCCGGAGCTGACAATTGGGATGCATTTTAACAGGAATTCAACGAACGTTTCCTCAGGAAATTGGTTGTAACTTCTCTGCCTAATGAATAGAATTTCGCCCTTGAATGAAGCTCAGACCCAAACAAAACGAGCAAACAAAAAAGAATGAGTATTTCAGGTAAAAAAAGCGATTTCTCTACGTGGGAACCTGATTGAAGAGACTTCTGTCTGTTAATCCGGGGGCCCACGTCGCTCCTTCCTACCAGTGTGAGATTTAGGCTGATTTGGCGTAAAGTATAGAGGAAGAATTGAGAATTAGTTGGGGCAGAAATAAATCTAACCGATGAAGTTAGTCCCACATTCAACCCATATAAAATAGGTTTTGCCAGAGTGGCGCCTGGTTATACATTAATAGTATTACACAAATTCTTTTAAAAAGTGACTTCTAAGCGCTCGTATCTGATTGCTAATAATACAGCCAACATCAATGCACTATGAAGCGGTAGCAGCGGTGGATAGGCAGCCGACATAGACGCAGTGGTCATGAACTTGGCCGAAATGTGTGCTGGTTCTAATAAGCGCTTATTGGCATTTGAAAATGAAAGACCCAAAAAAGCTAGTTTGAAAGGATTGAGCGACTAGCAAAGAAGGGAAAATGGCCGGCTAACGAAACACTACTTTAACGTCGGAGGTATCTCCATCTCCAATGTAGTTCAATTCGTAGATATCAAAGGAGGAGAAAGTGAAAGAGTTTAACGGTTAATTTATATGTTCACTTTCTCCTCCGTAAACGTAAGCACACGTAAGGTACTTTAAATAACTTAATAAATTATAATTTAAGCGTAAGAGGACATTTGTATATTTTCCAGTAGGACACACTGTCTGGTCGGCCTTAATAGATTAGAGATCGCAACAGTGGGTCCAAGGGCCAGTGAAATCCGGTATGCTCATATAGTTGAGTTGGTCGCCAAAGCTTGCCCTAAGTGACTTTTCAGCTAAACATTTAAAGGCTAAACATTTAAATTTTTGTTTGAAAAGGAAAACATGAATGTAATATTGTCTTCGAATACTGATTTTACGTCCCGAGATGCAATTGGCTGATCTAGCGGATCAACTTTGCAGCCATATTCAGCATATTTAAAAAGTTATGCAACTATGTTACGAATAACGTTCTTCTACTAATATATTTTTAAATTAACTAATTCGCTTAATTAAATGTTGGATTGTCAGAAGCTATTTAGTGGGTCGAAAAATTTGACTAACCATTAAACTCTGCACCATTAGCAGGCGACGAGGTCTGGCGAGTAATGCAGAAGGTCATGGAGGAAAACGCGCTTAGAGGCAAAGGTGTTGATTACTGCTGAAAATGAATGCTTACATAGTTATCTTTCTCAAATGAAAGAGCACTGACGTGACCCAACGGATAGTAGTAAAAACACTACACAAGCAGGCCTTTCGCGAGACAACAGTTTATTAAGGGTGCGAGAACGGAAACTCGGAGGTCAAAGATTACAGGATAGGTAACTAGATTTCTGTAATTCAACCGCGAGAATTCAGTGCTATAATGATGGTAGTTTTTAATCGAAACAAAGCATGGGCAATGCGCTTCCTGTTGGCGAAATCTGGGGCTTCTCAATGCACTCAACGAGCTGTGAAACTGTAACTACGAAATAAAATATATGGTGTACTCATTTGCAAAAAATCCATAGCAACAAGTCCGTTTGAAGAACACCATTATTAGATATGAAAAGCTGCTGTGTGTGCTTGAAGTCTTGAGATATAATCACCTACCCAGTATCTCTTAATTTTATTGCGCAAATTTTTAGCGAATTCGAACAACGCCTTCTTTCCGAGAAAGAGGAACTGTATATTAAACGTTTCTTTTTGCCCTTGAATTTAAACTGTTTAAACCTAAATTTATTATTCTTTCATTACAAGTCGTAAATTGGTAAGTCTTTGATGGGAGTATTTAGTGTTCAGTTTTTCGACCTGCTGACTAACTCAGTCAGAATAATCTAATATTATGCTTAAGAACAACACCGGTCGCGTATAATAAGTTAACAGTCAAATACTGATTATTAGAGATATAGCTTTTAAGATCTTCAGTACTGATAGTGGAGAGAATGAGTTTTGGCCATTGTAACAGCTGCAGACTGTAAATATATATTACCAACTGTCTTTGCGCGATGAAATGTATTCAATCCTAATGCCATTAAAGATGTGATCTGGCACATATTGGCTGGGTACCAATGTGTATACATTTGCATATATATATGCTTACATCTCTACATCTATAAAATAGAAATAACGTGGTTAATAAGGTACGAAATATCAATAAAATACCTTTGAATTTGAAGCATTTGCAAGGGTCCAACTCGAAGAATTTATCTATTAAGGTTAGGATTATCAGTATTAACCAGACCAGTTGATCCAGTTTTAAGTCGCTTGTTTCTGCTATACATTAATCGAATGTAAATAAATGAAACCTGCGCCAGTCTTTTTGGTGTTATACAAGATTATATGACAAGTTTACTGTTACAGTGAATTGCAATGTAGGTGCATATACTGAAACTACAAGGTTCTGAACCGGAATATGACAGAATGAAGTATCTTTAGGCTTTATACGGACTTACACATTAATCAGGACAAAACTGAATAATCGTCACCAGCCAAGCTTTTATATTTGGCCATTGATATACCTCTTGCTGGGCTAGAGATAAGTAGGGCTAACACATCTTCGCACGTAGGGAGAATAAGATACATATTTATGATATTTATTTTTCTAAAGTATAAAATATAAAGTATATATTTACTAATTAATAACTAATCACTGCAAAATGCCAAGCAGATCACATGCATGCTTTCTGTATACCGCTAAGCTTTCAACTTACCAACTTATTTCACCTCACATACAATCTATGTGTATACAATTTTTGTTGTTTAGAATTTCTCCTCGGATCTATAACAAAATCTTAATCTAATTCCACACGTATTTTATATTGTTTTGATAATATCCTATTTTTAACATGAATACGGTTCGCTGGTTTTCAAGTAGATAAGTAGAAATATGAAATATAAACCAATTAGCGGTTCATTCTTTTTAAACAAAGTTTTAGAGATTAGAAAAACATGAATTAGAGAAACTAATTGAAATAGTTTTACATTTTTCCTTATATATAGATAGAATGAACGGGAAAATTAATTTTAGTAGATAGTGATCGATTACTGGCTATAACAATGATTGTCTTTCTGTTAAGTAGAATATTTTCACTTGTGTTGCAGTTGGAAAAAGATATTTGCAGTTATCCGAAAATGTCTATCGTTCATTAAGCTTACACAGCACTTGAAAGAAAGGGAGTGTATTTAGCTACTGTGCTAGTCGAGCTATGATAGTTTTACTCTAAGCTGTAAGGAGGATTTTCCACGGTGTCGACGTATTGAACACGTACTTTGTAACCCGCGTGTGCTTGCTATTGAACCAAATAAATTAAACGAAAAAAATAGAAGAAGCTAAGTCACACTTAATCAAAGAAAAATAATCTGTTCTGCATACGTATCAGCTGTTGCAGTTTCTCATGCAGCAAAACTGAATACAAGTTTCTACCATTAGCCTGCCAACCCCTTTTTAAGTAACGATAAAAACAAAAATGCATTTAGCTCACTCATTCTGTGTGTAGACTAAAAGAGATTGGAAGTCTGTAAATTGCTGAGATAGAAGTCTAACCCGCATTGAAACATCTGCATTTTCCCCAAGAATCGTACGAAACAACACAACGTACCAGTCCTCTAATATCACTCGCAGGCTTTTATGGCGGAGCCCCCTTGTTTAATTTCAGGATTAAGTTTTTGGAATGGAGATTGACACTCGAATAAAACATGTAAGATGTACTGTTTCGGTATTTCGTACATGATAGAAGTACCCATAGCAACTAAGCAACAAACTCAGAAATCGTCTGGGATCTCGTTGTCGTAAAATCTAAGTAGAGCTTTATTATCACATTAGCCACATTTAGCTCAATTCAATCCGCTAGATCCAATTCGTCAGATATTGACTTCGCGAGGCCTATTTCCACCTACGCTTAAATGTCCATTTGGTAAATTTTGTAAAATTTTGAAAAGCTTAGCACAGCAAATCTAATCTAGAACTGATTACACCTGAAATAGATCTCTCTGTTTTTCTACTCACCGTGATCACCGATAACACTAATGCTAAGTGTTGCCTTTGTTTTCGTAGATTGACAGTTACTAAACCTATAGTCACCTCATTACTTCAGTCGTTAACCCAGTCTCGAAAATAACACTGCCCGTGTATTACAATTAACAGAGTAATGATTAACATAATCAACTTATCAAACAAAACAAAGATGTACGCAAAGATTAGTTCGCAATGATTAACGTCCTTGATCGAAAATGTTAACATTTTTTATGTTAGTCCGATTGAACCGTAAATTCAATATTGTTGTTTACAGATATGTCTCAGCATCTTATTTTTACCTTGTTGAGAGTTAAACACAAAACTAATTGAAAATACCTGCATGGGATACTGCGGAAAATACAGTTCGGTAATTTTATCTTTTTTTTCCAACACTTCTTATCTATACAGTCTTTGGCAGTCCGAATTAGGTATGCACAACAAATAGAGGACACGAATTATATTGGACTTACAAGATGTCGACATAATACAGCAAAAACAAAGGCATTGACTATCGTGTAAGTTCCAAATGCCTTATTGTAGACCTCACGGTTGTTCTTAAACAGAAGCTAACTAGTATGCGTTGAATGTCGTAGATAGACGGATGTAGTTTATAAAACCTTGGCAGACCATGCACTGTATTATTTTTTTTCTTTTGCTCTAATCAATGCGTTTCCGTCGTTGTCTTTATGCTCTGGAATGAGTCGCACTCACACTGCCGGCCGTGGTGGCTTTCAATGGGTAGAGGGCGGGCGGTGAGGGGGCGCGATAAAAAAGCTCACGGTGCCCATATAGGCTGTCGAATTTAAATACCCGATAGATACGACCACGTGCCTGTTGGCAAAGGAGCCCTTGGATATTGCGACTGACCAGCCTATGTCCCTCTGGCTGATATTTTCCGCTAAGCGCGTTTATCAGTAGTGAAGACGTTGTGTATAATTTCAGATATACATCTGTGGTACATTCTGCAGATGGTGACATTTGTGCGTACCTCCAAGTAGCTGTTGTTGTTATAATATTGAAGTTCTGGATAGGATGAGGGCCAAGTAGGTATAGTCGATACTTTTTCAACTTTCTCCATCATTGTGTAGCTTACAGCTTGCTCGTGCTGACTGGGCAGTCACTGCGCGTGATCGTAGGACGCGACGTGTATGGGCGGATGGGCGCACCTCATATTTTCCTGTTGCGCTCTAAAAAGGACAGCAACAACAGCAGTAATAAGGAGAGAAGGCAGCAGCGCACAGCACAAAAATGACCTGAACAGAGACCTTTCGCAGACTGGGTCGCTTAGTAAAGCTTCTCAAAAAATGTCCGTCAGTAACGACGTTACTGCCTAACTGCCAACAGTTGAAGCGTCGTAGCTAGAAAAATTGTTAGTGTCATAGATAACAGCCATCTAGCCAGCTGGCTTGTTCAGGCCGTTACGGTGTTCAGCAGAAATCATGTCAACTACGATCACAGCCATTAACCAGTGTTCGTCTATCGGACGAACCACAAATCGTTGGCGCATAGCAGCTGCGCCTTGAGACCCAGAATCATCTTTGTTCTTCTTTACACGAACGAGTATGCTTTGCATTAGTTCAGCAAACCTAACAGCAGCCGGCAAAAGTCTTACAAGAAAATGTTGTACCATAACACTACCACCCGTAATCATGTATACAATTAATGTCAATTACGTCCTTTTTTGTAGAAAGTAGTATTTCAAACAGCAAGTTGTCCCCGAACAGAATTAATAATACAATAGTAGATCACAAACATTGCCTATATCAATAAAGCAGCACGAAACTTAGGTGGCTTGGGCCCCTTCTGTTTGCTGCAGTAGCATCACTATGTTGTAAAGATTAGCCACTGCTGCATCCTGTGGCAAATATGTATGTTCGTCAGGCATACCCTAGGTCGCGCCCAGATTATTACTATCTATAATTGTGATAATGGTATTACTTTAACGCAGTTGCTAATATGATTTAACGTTCACTGCCGATTGACAAGTTTTACGGACTCCATCCGGGAATTACTAACACAATATCATATCGTAATTACTAGAAAGTACTTTATAATGTTGAACGGCAATATCCAATGCAAAGATCTACCACAGTGATCCTGTCTTCAGCCATACTGGAATACAGCTGCGATAAGGCTTCGTTCTGAATGCCCGCAGCTATCAATGATGTATATGTCTATGCAGAAAAGACTAATTGTTTAGGATCAAGGAAGACAGACGTTTACTGTCAAACTCGAAAATCTGTTGCTCGTATAGGAAAGGCTTATTGTCGCACATCGTATATTGGTTTTTGCACGGCAGTCCAAAATTATAAATACTTCGCGATTAGCCCGCTTCGGCAAAATAAACATGCAGTCTCTTAAATGCAACATCCAAAAAAATTACCCTAAATGACCAACTAAACGACCTCAGAGTAAATTAACAAAGTATTGACCGTATGTTAGCTGGTCTCGTTTTTGAATAGATCGCCTTGTTTGTTGCATCTTTTCATTTAGAAGTCTACTCGAAATGCTCCTAAGTCCGTAAACATTGCATGAACTACTCGATCGGACGCGCAAATTCAGTCCACCTACAACACTGTATATTTGTTATTCGTACATGTCATAGACCAACCTGTTGACCTCTATACACCTAACGCAATAGTCAATTTTCTTAATAACTTCAAGCTCTTAAACACCTCCACCTCTCCTAACTATGTCAAATCTGCTTCTCAACGTTACCATGACGCGAGCTTGTCCGCACATGCTGACAGTCTCGCTCTAGTTTGTTATCGAATTAATCTAGGTTACCAAAAACAATTACACTATGCATATTTCACAGGGACAACCCTATGTAATAGTAGGAACGGAAAAACTTACAAAACAATCATTTGGAATAAAGCAAGTTACTTTCATGGTCATTCTTACAAATGTGTTTTCATGTACACTGTAAATTTACTATGCATATTTGTTTGTAGGCGAGTGATATAGCTGATGCTTGTTCTTTCAGTTGATAATACCATAGCAGCTGCTGCTGCTGCTGCAGATATTGCTTTAAGACTGATGGTCTTGTAGCTACAGACAAAGAATACTCGGCGACCCCTCTGTCTGTCTTCTTTTTCCTTTTTTGCTTTGTGACGTTGTCTTCTATATTTCTGGCGTTCTTGATGTTACTATTATTATTGGCGCTGCTGCTGCTGCTGCTGCTGCTGTTGTTGCTGTTGCTGGTCTCCCCTGTACATCTGATTGCACCATCTGTTAAATAAAAAAAACCATCTATTTAATAGCACATTCGTGACGTATATAGAAATTTCCTGCTTTTTCCCTTAAGATGCCTCTAAACGTCGCCAAAAGTCACTTACGTGCTACCATGCACAGCATCCACGAGTCACACGTTAATACAGACAGCTAATTGAATCTACATGTATTGCTCATCGAATTTCAACCTGTCAAAATTAATCTTGAAAATTTCGGTCCACTCTAAAAATAAATTTGACTCGCTAGTTACTTTATAAATAAAATACTTTATAAGGTATTTTCCTCGAACTGGAATTTTATCAATTATAGAGATCACGACTACTGTTTCTTTCCAACCAACGTTTTTCCTATCGTTATCGATGTAGAATTTATACTAATAGTTAGTTGTGTTTGAAGGAGAACGTAGATGTGATTGATAACAAAATCAAATAATAACCTGTTAATTGTTCACTCTGTAGCCAAAACCTTGTAGTTTGTGTCTGTTTGCTATCTCATGTATCCACCGTTAGCTCGATGCATCGTTGGGGGTGTATGCTGGCCAGCACCCATTCCCTGTGAGCCCCCATTGCTGCTGTGTGTATTGCTGGAGTTGCTATGTTGACCACTGTTACCATGAGAGGCAGCGTTATTTCTATTGCCATTATAATAGCTGCTGCTGCCACTATACGCATTATTATTTTGATGATGCTGGTGCTGCTGCTGCACACTGTTATTCCCATAGTAACCGGACGGGGGCGCCACTGAGGTATGTCCTCCTCGTCGATGAGCGCCTGTTGTGTGGCTGCCTCGTCGACCACTGGCTGTCCCTGTCATGTCAAGGCCGAATCCACGTCCAATAGTTCCAGGCATTGCTCTAAGAAGGATTAGGACAAACATATGCAACTACGTAAGCGGAATAGTGAAGTTAAAACCTCATTTTGCATTAATCATATAACAATACGCTTCCTAGTCTTAAGAACACGAAAAAATTATGATGCCTACGATGAACTACATAATTAGTTAGATGAATACATAATTAGACTCCGTCGTCGGATCAGCAAATGCGCCCAAATGTGTATGATAAATCGCAGACCTTTGCATTGCTTGTGGACTGTTATGATTCCGTTGCTGATTGTTTGAGGGCACTGACACGGGAAGATTGTTTCCATTGCCGGGGCCAAGGATTCTCATACGTGCACGCGCATACTCCTCCTGTGAAGTAATAACCAGCATCCAATTTATTCATTATTAGCATATCGATGTATAATATTATTGCACGCCACATAACTTGAGAACATTCAAATATATATGTTCCTAAGTATATATTTGTAGTTTTACAGAATTTTATTGTGCTGTATTTTTATTACTTCATTATCTGTCGCAAAAAAGAACTATCAACAACGAATATATTAAAGCTGAAATAAACTTACTTGTTGCTAAAAGTTCAATTTTACACTGAGAGCGAATAAACGGAGAAAATGTTTTTTGAAGAAGATGATGCCTTATTTGCAATTATATAAAATGGTATTTCGTTATTAGTTTTTGTTTGTACATACTTGTCTTTGGGCGTAAGTCTTCCCGGTCGGAGGCGTTGGTACAGAGTTGTTATGTTCACCCGATCGGTGGCTGTCTCCGCTTCGTCTGTGTGTGGAGGTGAAGGTGTCCCCCGCAAAACTTCCTCTTTCTCCATTAGCCGTACCCGGAGCAATAGAAACTACCCCAGTTGGCGCCGTTTCTCTACGAAGAATTTTAATTGTAGGTGGCGTTGTTCGAGAAGGCTCCTCTAGCCTCACCTAATAACGAAAATGGGTCAAAAACCTTCCTTCAGTAACAACTATAACCTAACCCCATTATGTTTTACGTATAAAAAACTAATCTAACCATTAATCATCATATATACCCAAAATCACACCGATAAAGTAAAATTTTCTTCAGAAAAATAACTTAATGGATTTGAGATTTTTTAGTCCTTCTGAGATATTTCCACCACTCACATTAATTTTTGTAGGTCCTGATGGTGTTCTCGTTTTCTCGTTCTTCTGATGCTGCTTTTGGTATTCACTGTTTGCATCATTTAGTCGAGTAGTGCCTTTGTCCTTAACACGAAGCTTTTCTAGGGATTTATCTAAAGTCTGCGGAAGAGATGCAAACATCAACAAACGTTCAACAGTTGAGTAATAAATGAGGTAATGCTTGCTGAAATATAACTATCCGTACGATAACATTTGAGTACTTCATTATTTCTTATGCAAAAGTACTCTTGGGTACTCAAGGGTACCTAGCTAATTCTAACAATTTTGTCATTTTTTTTAACCATATATTTAGACACAACACGCAGGATAACAAAGCTATAAAAGAAGGCGGATCAATTATTACTGATCTTACTTGAGGCATGTTCTAAATATCTACTAGACTCATTTCTAGCAAATGTGACTCTAGAAAAGCACTATTTCATTTGTCAGACGAACAAAATTAACTTAGGCATCTGAGGCATCAAAGAACAGGTTTTTTTTCCAAGCTAATATATAATAATATAGCGATACAGTGGATAGTGGATACTTTGATTAGCTGTTAGACAACGACATACAATATTATAAATAGGCCAGTTATTATTACAGGCCAGTTGCACTCTGCTGGCTGGCTGCCCATCCTTCAACGATGGCCGCTACTTTCAAAGAGGAAAATTCAGCAGCCACTTGGTATCAAGTCACTATTAAAGCCTAGTGCATCAAGGTTTAGCTCTAAACTTGCGAAATTAGCCTGCGAAACTCCTGTATACATCATCCGTGTAATTTTACCCCACTATCGATGAGATTCTCCCAGTTGTCTTCGTCCTCCTCATCCTCCTGCAAACCCATCGTCGAATCGGATCCGTCGGGAAGAGCGGATATCGCCACCTCATCGCCATTGGAATCTACTGACATCTGCTGCTGGACTTCCTGTTTTAAACGACTAGACATGTTTAGTATAAATTATCATTCTAAGGAAGGAATAAGGGTCAGATTATGAGATAAACATCAGTGTAGATATTTATCTAACTCACAATCAACATAGTGAGGAAGTGCGTCTAATTGTGTTCATAAATAACCTTTTTCTCATTAGCACTGCTTTCGTTGTAATTTTTGACATCGCCTGAGGTCTGGTCTACGTCATGGTCAGCTTTATCCATACTGTTAATGGTACACAGGGTATTGTTATTGTTGTTGGCATTGTTGTTATTGGTTTGACGGTGATGATTGATGTTGCAGGTTTTAGATGTCGTCATCGATGCCGACGTCGGTCCAGCCACTACTGTTTCATTCGCTGGGGGAGGCAATTCTTTGCGGTTTACGCTATCGTCTTCAACTGCCTCTATGGATGAGGAAGAGGGTGGTGTCAAAGGTAGCACCATTTCAGCTAATACCGATTCGGTAGTTGCTTTTGTTGATGGTTGTGGAGTGTATTGCCGTTGTATATGTCGGCCCTTTCCAGTATTTGTCCCTTTCGCTTTGGGTTTCGTTTTGGCTTTCGCAGTTGTTGCAATGGTCGAAGAGGACACTTCGTTTGTTTTACCGGCTGGTCCCACTATAAGAGCTGAAGAGCTGGTTCCGGCGTCAGGACCACTCTCCATCACGTCTCCAGCAGCGCTACCTATGATTAAAGCTGGTGGCAAGTTTGGGGTAGTAATGGTCAGATCAGGACAATAACAACAAGACAGCTCGCGGACAACAGCTGTTGGCAGGGCACACTCTCAATACCTTACACAATCACAATTAACCGCCCGTTACACGGTGGTACACTCCACTACTTCTTTCACTACCAGCACCAACATTAGCGGCAGTAGCAACGATAACCCGACCTCAAACCGCCGGTCTTTATAGAGACCTCCTGAAAACGAAAGGAAGGAAAGAATACAAAAAAACAGAAAAGTGTATTAAATTACGTGCTTTACGGATCGTCCTATTCAGCTACGTTTCATTCAAATGATTATCATTGACTTTGACGTTAACTAACGTAAACATAAATGGTATACGAGCTATGATGCAGACTAGTGCGGATAGTGAAGTGTGTCTGAGAATTACTGTACAAGTAACTAACTGAATTACTACAAATCCGTTTATCGTAAGCTACTTTATGACATTTTTGGTCGTTCGTCTAAAGTTAAGGTAGTCTAGTACATATGTATGGCATTTGCCAATCGTAACCGGTAATGCATTTAGTACCTGGGACACGGAAGCTGTGTATGGTTGGAACCCAATCCCTAATAAAAATACTTCCGGTCTATAGCCAAGATACTCTCAATGAATTCTTTCACCGCCAGCTCATCTGTGCACAAATTAGTATACAAAAAGGTACCGTACCTATATCATGAGGACGTAGAGACGGAGCATAGGGTACCGATATTGTTAATTTTTAATACTTACTTTCGTTAGCTTCAAAGGCTGGAGCCTAGCTCATGTGGAAGTGTACTTTTTGGCTCAATGAAGCCCCCTGCTGAAGTTGAAGCAATTTACAATAACACCACTGGATGCTGTTAAATATGGTTCTTATTAAAATATGAAATAAAATATAAATATGAATCTTATTAAAACCAAAAAGGTTAAGAGAGAGGTATAGAACTTAATAACGTATTTACTGTTTAAACTTCCAAAGCCACTTTCTAGTTTTCTCTCCCTTCTATTTCACTATCATTTAGGGCTCCATATCGCCTGCTATCATTATATACATCCGAAAACCTTTAATAGTATTAATTTAACCATAATACCCCAGATAGTTATTCCAAAAATTCACATAAGCCATTTTAAATATCCTATGGATTAGCAATCCTTTAGCACTAAGTAAGTTTTGACTGACCCTGTAAATATACTAAGCTCGATCAAATTTGTATATTAGGTTTCATACATTTTATGTCACATTATGTCATTTATGCTGCGGGTATTAGAAATGATCCATAACATTCCTCTTATGTACTCCATTGTGTAGGAAATTAAGATGTATTGGGTAAAAAGGATAGTTTTTCTGTATAAAAATATTTTCACGACGCACATGAAACAAGAGTCAGCTCACATCACCGTAATCCAAAAGAGCTAAGCTCAAAATCCTTTTTAATACATCTATATCTAATAGATTTTTTTTATATTTATGAATATGACATGCACGTATTTTCAAGGTATGATAGAACGTGTTACGTATGCGTGCTATGTTATAAAACAGTACTTGAGAACACAACAGGCAAAGAGTGTACAAAGCATATAATATAGTTGCAGTATCATTACGTATAACTGTGCAATTTTGAACTTGAACCTGGGTATTTAAACACGTTTGCTGATAAATGACGCTTACGAATAACTGATACTCAGAGGAAATAGATTTAGGTTGTCGTAAAAAGGTCAGACGCTACCCCTTACCATTCGGGTGTATTGACATATGGTTCAAGGAATCTTTCATGAGTCGGAATAAAGTGAGCTTTTCCACTAAGCAATGTGAAGGCCCTCAGATGGCTCTACGAGGGCGTTAAAACAACCTGCCCATATTCATAGCAAAAACAATTATACAGTAATTATAGATAACCGCGTTTCTTCACATATCGTATGTGCTTCAAAAATTAGGTAGTTAAATAATTGACGTAATTATCTTCAAAACTGCATTTCTGTGGACAATACGAAGTTTTGGCGATTCCGCTGAACGTTCATCGAGACACCAATCAAATGTCACATAATTGTTGGTTACCAGTAGGTCGTAGTAAAATCCAAACCAAGAATAAATAGATATTGTATGAGCACTAACAGCTGTATCCTGTTGACCAAAACTGTTATTAAGAACATTTATGAAGAAAGTTTAGCAAGGATCCAAAACAAATATTGAATAAAGAACGATATGCTATAGATACTGCCATTCATATTATAACTAGCTCGAAGTTTTAGTAAAGTTACCAAGAACACACACGTCTCGTATCTACTACCTAAAGCTCACCTTGTGAGAACGCGACGGAGTCGCAAAAAACATGCGACGAAGCCACCGAGCGATAAAATATGGGTGATGATACTTAATGGTATTGGGCCCCGATAAACTATCGGAATTGTTGTATGTTTTATCGATGGATAACTAACTCGTTCACTTGAAACAATTTCTCCCCCTACAGAGACAGTATCACCAAACCAAAGGTACCCCGCGATGCAGATGTCTTTACCACCGGGTAGGAAAAGAGGAACGTTGTCGTTAATTAATTTGATGCATGAAGATGCTATTCTATTTGGAGAGCCTTTATATCGAACTACATCAAACAGCACTTGCTGTTACAGCCGAACCACCAGCGAGAAACCACACCAGCAGCAGCCGTAGTAATAGCAGTCGCAATAAATAATAATAATAACAGAAGCAGAAAAAGGGCAAGGGCGGTGGCAGGAGATCTGATTGGCGCTAGTGTCTAGAGGCGGTGTAGTAACAACAACAACAACAGTCGTCCCCGGCGGATCTTGATGGTGGTCGTGGAAAGTAAAGGGGGCACGGATACACAAAGAAAAACCGATAGTACGAAGAATTTCTGATGATAATTATTGCTGGTGCTGCTAAAACTATTCTGCGACTACGATACTATTAGCACTTGATGGGTGCTAACGTTGACGGCAGCTGATAATGACGACGGCGGTGGCGGCAGGAACGATGATGACTTGTTCTCTTCATCCGACCATCACCTAATCACAAGCACACATCACGCTGCACCAAATAGATAACAACAACGGGACACAGACAGATATAGCGGCTTCAATAGATTTAAGTGTCCGAGTGCCGTGCTACAAATAACACTAGCAGCCACGGTAGTACCTACTGCCCCCAGCAGCAGAGGCTGCAGCAAAAGGCACTTCAGGACTTTTGGCAAATGAGCCTACTAACCGATGTAAATATAACGGCAGACGACGTGCCGTTGTCATAGAACGTCGGATTATTGCGCCCACTCACTCACTTTCGTCACCACAATGATGATTACTATTGTCTTTGGTGACGAGCACGCGGTTAGATTGAGCGGGCAAATTTGAAAGAGCATATATATGAAGAGTCTCAATGTATGCCTTGCATTAATTCCGTTGTTGAGCAATCTTTCTTTCATTATTTGATTGATAACTTTACATAAAATAATCGACCTTTTTTTTTTTATCTAATTGCAGCTTATTTTGCATACCGTCTTTCCATATTAAGGACCATTTGTCTTCAAGTCACTATGTCAAGCCTGCGTGAATTTCAATGCACGTATTCCCTATTACAAGCAGTATTAACATTGCTATAGGCATTTAGACCCACTGCGAGGGTCTTAGTATTTAGTGACTTCAGTCTTACAGAAAAATATAAGTCCACTACCAGCAGTTTACCAGCAGTTTTATACATGAATACTGATTAACCTCCCTACATTCGAGCGGACGCTGATTTTTTTAAGGATATTAAATTTGTGTATCTACATACTTGAATAAGATTTATACAATTATTTTTTCTTATAGTTACTAAAAGTAGTGCTCTTCTTCGAAGCCTCATTCAGCACGACGAATAAGCGGTCTAAATTAGTTTCAATAAATGGATTCGCCCTTGAGCTGGATAAGAAGTCAGAAACCATATGCTCATTATTAATATTAGAACTAACACGATTCGTGACTTTCCCCAACTATCATATATGCTTAGAGTTTCAAAAACGTATATCTAACGCTTCATTAAGGTCTCGGTCTCTCTCGCAATGATGTTGCTTCCCCCTACAAGTAGTAACACTTTAGCCGAAATTAGATGTACCATAAGGACTGCACGTGAATTCACCAAGGGTAGCACATGAAAACGCCAAGATTTCCTTAACAACGAAACATGTATGGTAAGACAGTATTTATCGTATGGAAAGGGTGTCTATGAGGCGTACTAAGTGCCAACGTGCCTTACATGAATGAGTGCGAAAAAATCCAGGCTTAAGTTTCATTTGCTTGATGTACTCTAAACTATATATATTCTGAACATACGAAACTTAAAATAGCTCTTCTTGATATACCATGTCTATTACTTTTATTACTCGCAATTTTGCCACGCAGCAACAGTAGCACAGTGATATAGTCAATATGATAATACTAATAACATAATCATCAGTCAGTCACTTCAGTAACATGAGAACACTTAACAGGGCTCCTTCGTTCAGACCACGTGTCAACTCAACTTTCTCTCTCGTCATAATAACAATAATCATGATAAAAAAAAATCATAATAACAACAGCCACGTAAAGGGATGAACCAGCAAATGGTCCAATTATTATGAGCATATATTATTAGTCAACCTCTGTTCGGTTCTCAGTACCCCTTTGAATTCTCCTGCTGATTGAACCTATCGTTTTCACCTGACGTCATTGTCATTATCACCTAACACCCACTTTGTTTCTTTCTTACAGGCTGCTGCTACTGCTCATTATTAGAGTGAATATATCCTCCCTTTTCCCTTATCACTTTCTATCTATCTTCTCTTTTATATATATATATGTATCCATAAATGTACGTATGTGTGAGTATACACATAGCTTGAGATGTATTTGTATAATTACTGTATTATTTGTATCGTATGATCCTGCGCGTCTCTCTTTAGTTAGTAGGTATGGATTTCTGTCCGTTACTGGGCTCCGTTGTTGTTCCTATTAGAATAACTCATTCAATCAATACTATAATCAGTCTGAAATGTGGCTGGACAAAACGCCGAACCGGCCTAAATTAAGCAATTGTTTTACCTATCCGGCTGCTTCTGTCACTTTCGATGATGTGCTACTATAGATATACTGTTATGTTATTATGGTTACTGTATTATATATAGTCATCATCATTTAAGCAATTATCTTTTCTACTATTGCGATCATTTAAATACACAAGACATTTTTCGGTAACTCTGAAGAGTAGCCGTAAGTGCCGTTTCGGATATGCCTCCTTTATAACGACGTCATGTTGTTTTCAAACACATTATTACCAGTCTGTTTTCCATCAACTAAGCTATTCTTTAACGTCATACTTCCCTTTCGTTCAGCAAAAAAGTATGATTCACCCTGATCGTGCATCATTGGTCCAACAAGTCGCCTCGTTTAACCAACAGTAGTCAGTTAGTTGATATAAGGCCGCGCAGCTTTATGATGTCGACCTGTTCCCTCAGTTCACTTAACTTTAGAAACGAACTTGGTGGCATAGATTTAATTGATACTTACATAGAATTCTATATTAAATGTTTAAAACCTATGTGTGAAGCGGCTCGTGTTGTTATCAGTTTGTTGATCCCCGACTCTACTGAGCAGGAGGATAGATTTTTCATTACTACGCTTAACGCAGTTTCTTAAACGAAACACATCCGAATCATACGGGCGGAAACAAGAGCGCCAACTTTAGTCAAAGGGAGTTTCGGGAAATAGAGAAAAGTTCTTTAAAAGACTGAACCCGCTTAGTCCTCCTGTTTAGTCCTCGAGGTTGCGGAATGCTTGCTGCATGTTTTCATGGAGCTCATCAAAGTCCTTAAGAATTTTTTCCTTTGACTCTTCTGTTGGATTTTTGAATTTCATCGACGACAACTGATAAAGAATATCACCCATTGCCTCACGAATTACGTTCCATGTAATGCGGTTCTCTGACTGCTGGGTAGCATCCACGGCGTGACACGCCATATCGTAGAAGCCAAGCATGTTCCGCAGCATGGCCACACTTTTATAGAATGGGCAGTAACGATCGTAGGGTGTATACCCATTTTGCTGCAGGAAATCGTCTTTGATTAGCTTGGCTACCTGGAAGCAATAAAAAAGTACAAAACGTAATTGAAAGTTGGCGTTGAAATAAAATTCGCCAGTACACAAGACTACTAATTTTCCTAATTCTAAGGATGATCATACGAAAATGTTATTTTTATTCGAAAATTCCATTCCTTAAGGTACATAGAATATTTTATATAATCCTTTGAAGCCAAACCCAATATAATAGTCCATCATAAAAGGAACTAAATAGAGCTTTTCCATGGAAAGACGATATTTTCGATATGAGAACCGCGTTTCGTGGTTTTACACTGTGTTAGACTCTACATATCGTACCTCAAGGGTGATCTTCTCACGCTCTCCAAGTGATGCTTTTCCGACAAGCTGGACAATTTCTGAGAGTTCCTCTTCCTCTTGAAGAATGCGCGAGCATTTATTTCGTAGGGCTGTAAATTCGGGGAAATTTTTGTCGTAAAACTCATCTAGAGCGTTTGTGTATTTCGAGTACGAGATTAGCCAGTTGACAGACGGGAAGTGTTTGCGCTGGGCGAGCTTTTTGTCTAAGCCCCAGAACACCTGGACAATTGACAGCGTAGCGGAAGTGACGGGATCCGAAAAGTCACCTAGAATATGAAGAAACAAAAAAAAAATACTAGTCGAATATCCACGCATATGTCCGAGTCACCGTAAAAAAAGCAGCATATAACGATAAGTACGACAGCAATAATATAAAGGATAAAGATAAATTTCACCGATCCTTACCTCCTGGAGGAGAGACGGCTCCGACAATGGTTACCGATCCCTCACGTTCGGGGTTGCCAAGACATTTCACACGACCAGCTCGTTCGTAGAAGGAAGCCAGTCGAGCAGCCAGGTAAGCCGGATAACCTGAATCGGCTGGCATTTCGGCCAAACGACCCGAAATTTCTCGAAGGGCTTCCGCCCAACGTGACGTCGAGTCAGCCATCATAGCTACGTTGAAACCCATATCGCGGAAGTACTCCGACAGTGTGATACCCGTGTAGATAGAGGCTTCTCGAGCAGCTACAGGCATGTTAGAGGTATTTGCAACCAAAGCAGTACGCTGCATAATGGACACTTGCTGGCCATTTACCTCAGTTGTTAGTTCAGGGAAATCACGTAATACCTGGTGAATACAGAGCAAAAGGTACCAACTGATATTTATTACATGCAGCATCTCATTTGACGGAACAGAGTACGTTAGATTGTAATAATGAATAGAAAATAGTTACGAAAAAGTACTTAGACATCGAATAGATAGAGAACTTGTATCTGAGGCTGACTTAGGGCTACCTAGTCGACATTATAATCATACTCACTTCAGACATTTCATTGCCGCGCTCTCCACATCCAACGTAGATGATGGCGTCAGAGTTTGAATACTTTGACAATGACTGCGAGATGACAGTTTTACCACAACCGAAAGCACCGGGAATGGCCGTCGTACCGCCCTGTTAATCGAAACCAAGTTATGTTGACATGATTATCATTACATGAAGAATGCATATTAGTCATCGAATTCTGAAACCATGAAATGAAGGTTTACATGGTGAGTTTATATAGTGGTACGGGCTTCAGAGCTACCTCAGGTTCGAATTACAGCAAGTGCCCTTACAGTAAAATTATAGACAACAACTGAGAGAAGTGTGATGACTGTACTATTGTTTAGAGCCAATGGACGATATCGGTGCTCATCAAAATTACCTGTACACAGGGGAATAAGGCATCCAACACACGTTGTCCAGTAAGTAGTGGATGATTGGCTGCCAGTTTTTCAGCCGTGGGACGGGGTTGACGTACAGGCCAAACCTATTGTAACAGATTGAAAACTAGTAGTCAGAACTGATATGTACCCACAAAAATCCATGATTATTCTAATCACACTTGACGAAGCGTTTTAGTGTCTTTATCATGAAGGTCGACTAGCCAAACGAATAAGCGGGCGTGGAGCGAAGTAAACTACTAGCGTCGTCTTATATGAAAGGTGGCCCAAACGTCTTAGTGGTCAAAAAAATTTTAGGCAGCTAAGAAGTTGGAGTCTTTAGCCAACTGTCTAGAGACTTTTACACACTGTACATATATATACTGAAAGAAAAAAACATGGCAATAATGTAGCAAACCTGCATCATAGTGTATTTTTTCTTCTCTCCATCGAATTCGGTCTCAAGAACAACTTCGTCGACGGTGTAGTTGCCTGGAGCCGCTACAAATGTCACCGTACCCCTACGTAAAATAAAGTTAGTAATTATTAGACGAGGATCACTGCAATATTAATCCCTGTACCAAGCACTAAATTCTCAATAATTTTTGATGGCAGGACACATTATTCGGCGACATTAGTCGATTAATGTCACATATTGGTGGTCAACCCCCATGAACTTCAAAAGCAAAAGATACCGTGAGAACTTTATTACACAGTCTTAATGGTTGATAAATGACGGGTGTGTGCACACTGTGACAGCTTTTAAAGGCCTATTATAGAAGTTTCAAATACACCGCTAGAAAATGAGAGGCTCAAAGTACAAAGATTTGCACACAGTTCTTTAGTTTACAAATGCAAAGATCACAAACCATGGGAAGTTAAATAATAGACCACATTCACTTTCAGCACTTTTCCTCAGAAATTTCTTTAGCAGCTTCTTTTCAAGGTTCAAATATATTTAATTACTATTGATCTACCTCGCCTTGGGATCGAGCATAATTTTGTGGTTAATCAACGAGTTCTCGTTAACGAAGCCAAAAATGTCTCCTCCGGTCATATGAGACCCTATTTTGACGTTCGCAGGAGTGAACTCCCATAGAGTATTTCGCGACAAAGCCGGTACGTTTATACCCTAGAGATTAATTGCACAAACAAGAAACAACAGATAATTGGAAACGTGAAAAAGATAAGCACTATTTTTTTTTATCAATGTCTCGATTATCTATCTAGAGGCTTACTTAAGAAGAAACAAAGTGCTTACAATTTTTTTTTATTTTTGATTAGAAATGTATGCCTATAATGTCCACTCTTATGTGATATATCATGAAGGAGGCTAATATCATGAAAACCCTTACTATCAAATTTAACTGACCTTTGGAATATAAATAGACTGCGTCTTGGAGTTAATTTCCCTGAGAGGTCTCTGAATCCCATCAAAAATGGAGTTCATGATACCCGGGCCAAGTTCAACCGATAGAGGTTTCCGAGTCCGCAATACTGGATCTCCTACTGTGACGCCTGATGTCTCTTCGTATACCTGGATAGTCGCCATACCTGATGTATGACAGAATCCGTTCATGTCATTGAATAAACAAGAAAAGTTTAGGTCACTTGTATGTAGAAGGATTAATAGAAATACTACATTTTAGATTGTCTAACAAACAACCTACTAAATGTAGGCTTCAGTCTATTCATGGTTTTAAACATTGGCTCAAGTTCTAAAGATGTAAAGGAAATATGAATATAGAGAGCGAATTGCGCACCGTTAAGTAATTAATTTAGAGAATTTTTGAATTGGCTCGGTTTACTTAAGAAGAGTGATCAGGGTACAATAAGCAAAATGCAATTGGAAGATTCTTTACATGTCAGCGCATCACTTTTCTTTGAAGAGCTCTAGCGTCTACATGTTTATTTGGTTATTCTAGTTTTATCTGATTTAATAAGAAGAAGCGACAAGACAATGTTTGATATTGACTTGGCGCTTGTTTCTGGGCGTACATTTAGATATTAAAAAAAAAAGAAAAAAAAAAGAAAAACAGAAAAAATACAACAAAAGCTCCATTGTCAGACTAACCTCCTTCGAGCTTAATGATCTCTCCAACCAGCTCGTCATGTCCTACTCGCACCAACTCGTACATGGCGGCGCCCTCCATGTCACGCGCGGTGATTACAGGACCTATTTAAAAAACAATAAGAAAATTTAATTAGTATCAGTTTCTGACTGTATGGTTCATTGATTAGAGAATATAAGAAAAAAGGGCGGTAAGAAACATTTATTATTTTGAAGTGCATCATCTGACTTTTACCTTAAAGGGTTGAAACACTCTTCGACTAGAAAAGGACTTAAATTGCATCAAAATTAATATTTTCTAAAATGTTCTTAATAATGTTAAGGTTCTGTCGATAAAATCGTTTCTACTGTAATTTTTCCACAATGTAACAATAAAATTATTAAATTACCCGAGACAGCGTGGACATATCCATACTCGGACTCCTTGGCGTCCAAAATTTTCGGCAGCGACATCGTGAAGGATCCTCGATACTGAACAAAAATTGAAAAATGTTTTGATTGTATTAGGATAAAGAAAACTATATAATTTACTATAGTGGTTATATAACAAAAAAAACAACATTTGTTTACTTTGAAAGAAAAAATATCAAAGGGCAGAGTTGATTCGTACATGGCGACTACCAGTGCGTGTGTATGTATTTTATACTACCACGAAAACTGAGATATGAGGCAAAATATTAACTCAATAGAAGATTAAAGTTGATAACGGAATACCATTGCCCAGGAGTATTAAAGATGCATGCTTGCGTATAGATTCCCATGTACTTCAGAGCTTGCGATGTGTAATCTTTTGACATCAACAAATCAATACTAGCTCACATCAGCTAGAAGTTACTTCGACTAAATCCGACTCGTTGGAGATCCTGTCGCCATTCGGTCTGCGAAGTTGGATTAGACCGATAAAAGAACCCGCCACCAATCCATTACTTCTGGATCCACTTAGTGACTTATTTGATATAGAGATAGGTTTTTTACTGTTGCATGCGGTAATAATCATGATAATTTATCCTTATAAAGTGTTTTTTACCTCTACGAAAGCTATAATGTTCAATGAAAACTAGTATTTATAATAGTTTGTTTGTCAAAATTGTTCATTCGGTGATGACGCAGTCACTCCCTAGCTTGGACCTGTGTCCTTCTTTATTTCAATTTTTTTCCGCTTAAAAAGCAGTTAGTACACCCTGAGAAGGTGCCACAAGCAGATTTGCGTTACATCCATCAAGCAGAAATATCTCGTGAACTGAGAGGTTCTGCTCAGTATGTGCCATATTTTATGTACCACATTGCGGTATAAAAATAAAGGGCAATTGGAGACTACTTATTTGTACCATCTCACTAAAAGTAAGTTATATAAAATTTGTTTGCTTGCAGGTTAGACTAGGTACACGAAAATTAAACTACCATTAAATTCAATCTGGTTTACTGTTATTATAGGCAATTATTTTCAACTTCTCTGAAATGCTATAATATCCTGAGACAATTATGAGAATTTTAATTATCCGATCATCGAACACGCAAGACAAACGCATTCGGTTGAGACCATTCCTCGGATTTTTTTACCAGATTTAATGCACAAACAAATTGTAATTCTTCAAGGCGTATATCATCAGTTGCTGTTCGTTTTCTGTAGCCATGTTTTCGTCAGAAACATTTTTATGATAACGATTGTGCTCAAAACCGATTTTTGTAATTTTATAGCGGTACGGCATTCATCATTAGAATATCGCGAGACTTGTACGTTCTATTCTGCGGACACTTTTTTGGCCTTTCAACAAACGGATACAATTGACTATATGACAGTTAATGTCAATATTCGAATGAACACAGGGTCGGGTCGTAATGTAGACGTACCTTGGCGACTTCGATGCACTGTTATGGGGGCAGTAGCTCAGTTATGCCACTTTAATAGCTTCTAGTAAGATTGATAGGTGTATACAGACACCTCGCCAAGCAGCCCGTGTTCACGTGAATGCAGATCCTGTGACACCTCCACACCATAGCACTGTCGATCCCGCAGGCTATCATGTGACTCTGACTGGCGCAGATGGCGCTACGATCGTCCGATGAAAGGCGAGGAGGCGGCTGGGTGAGTTAGGCCGCCAGTGCCGCGGCCACCACAGATAGAGTCTGATGTATCTGCCGCTGCTGCCGCAGTTATCGCCAAAACCGCCGCCATCGGTCTACATGCAGAAGAAGCAGTAGCATCAAGATACGTACTCACAGTCAGCACCGTAGCTCATCGTTTACCGCAATATTACAACCAAAGCAACTATTTCTTCTGCTTTGATTACAATAGCCACTGCTAACCCGTATTTGCAGGCTTGCTATAAAAGCCAACGGACAAATCGATACATCGCTAGAGATAGAAGTTCAGTGGTTCTTGTTGGTTTCGTTTTTAAGGCGCGCCAATTTTTGACAACAACAGTAATGACAGGGCAAACGTTCTCAATAGGATTCATAGGTTCAGTTGAATTGGGTTTATCTTGACAGATGATTGATTACAGTTTAGAGCTATGAGTCCCGAAGGATTTCGTTTCGTGCTGAGAAGCAGTCGCCTGAAGTTGTGCCTAATCACTTAAGGACCGGGCGTAAAAACGCAAAGATTTAAAGTTGATTAGAAGAGCTTTGATTTTCAAATCGAGGATGCCAGGCGGGCCATGAGTTGACTTTTCGTAGGCCTTTTTCCTATAAGTGAAGCCAGCAGGTAAACCTCTTATTAATCCTCAGTATATCATCAGCATCTGTCATTCATAATTTCACTGCGCCCTTGCTTCAAATCGACACAGAAAGACGAGCAAGTTACTCGCCTGCGCGTTGACTCACCCCAAAAATAGGGTCGAGACGCACATCCTAGAATATTCTAAAATAATTATAATAGAATCAGATTAAGCAATTCAATTCTTGCAGATATTTGTATTGTCAGATTGAGAATTACGATAAGCAGCAATAATAAAGTTGCAGAACCCGCAAATGTAAGTTATGGAAATTTAAAAAGCTGTGCGCCTTGCACAGCCTGAGCCGATCATTTACATTTTTAAACATTACCAGCTTTTCTTTGTATAGTGGCCAGAAGCAGTGTCTTGAAATGCTCGTTTTTTAAACATTCTTCTAATATACATTTGGCACCTATGACTACATATGCTTCCCATCACAAATACGGTGGTACGTTTGAAAATCTTTCGTCAGAAATGGCTACAATTTGTCGATCGATTAAATCAATGATAAGCATTTGATCATATGAAAATTCGTCTTTTAATTTTATTTTGTATTCTCTAAGAGGGGCGACGTTAAACGCTGAGTATCGTTCGTCTTTTTTTTCTACCCTTGAACTAGTTCTGGCCAGATCATGAACCATAGTTGATGGCCCACTGCACTTAGTTAGCACGATAGCACGGGTTATTTCGTCGTGTTCCACGTACAAGATATAGAACTGTTAGTAAAAACAAAATTTACAGTTCTTTGGATGTAGCCCATTTCGAGCCATCGTCTTCAAGCGTTAACCCTAGATGTCAGGGGTTTGCATAGCGAAAATCAACTTTGAATTGTCTTAACCTCCGAAATAAATACAAATTTGCTCAATTAATATGTTATTTTAATACCAATCATTATTAATTCCAACATTTTAAGTGATTATTAATTGAAACATTTAAAAATATTATTCAAATAAGCCTATTTTTTTTTGTTACCTGACGAAATTGCGTTGTGTAATGTGTGTAAATGTAAATAAAAACTATGTTGTACCCGTACTCGTGTAAGGTTACGGAAAGAAATACTTCTATAAATAAACCTTTAGGAGAAGTTCTTTAATCTAATAATCTTTTTTCTGTTTTAATAGGACCATTTTTACAAAAAACAATCTGATTTATTCAAATGTGAATATTTCGTTAGGCTAAATTGGTATCCTATATTTTTGTGTAGAGAGTCTCAAATGTGTTAAAAAATTGTTGTGCACGAGACAAAAAATATGGAATTGGTTGTAAAGTTACTCCGGAAGTTAGCTGTGACAACGCTCTGGTGGGGTATGCTCACTCTTCTGTCTATCCTTTCCAGTAATTTAGCCTTGAATGTGTTTGGATAGTTTTACTACTATTTTACGCCGTGTACTTAAATTGTTAGTCATTACTTCAGACTGCTGGCTTTTACCAACAAAAGAAATGTGACTACTCTCTGATTCGAACCTAGATCGCGACGTGTTCCTAAGTTCAACAGGCAAACACGTCACCCGTTGCGTGATCACGGACATAAAGTACTTGTGGTGGTAGAACAAGTTGTTCGACTAAATAGACAATCGTGAGGGGATACTTTGACGAAAGTTGGGTGGCTTGCATTTACATTTATTATTGGTATTTATAGTATAAGACATAAAATCCCAAAATAAAAAATGAGTGCTTCCTGTTAATGTCTGCCAGGGGGTAATTACAAACCGATGAATCGCTCATTCCAGAAGCGGTTAACCAATTTACAGGCACTTTATATATATTTTGATGTTAGCAGTGTAAGTTAAAGTTTTTCGCAAAAGTACCTCGAAGTACAATTTGACAGTTTGAGATCAGTTTGATTAAATTAGCGTTAATTTATCTAACAGTAAATAAAAGTTTGTTTGTTATAGCTGCATGGAATCACGCGTAGTTGAATTTGAAGTAAGCATACGACAACTACTTGCTATAATAGCCCTGATCCTATTTATACCAAATAATAACAATGGAATTTTCGTCGGACTCCAACAGGTGAGTGAAGTCTTGCAAACAAACGCCCCTAGTATAAAGGAAATAAAAGAACCCATAAATGAATCAACTGGCCATTTAGCGGCTGCCTGTAATCAACCACATAAACACATCGTTTAGGTAGAAATCGTTCTAGAAGCTAGAAAATAGAACGGGTCTAAAAACCGTCAATTCGAATTCCTGCGCGATTTTCTCCGCGCAGATAACTCCCAAAGTTTCGCAATTCTGCCTCGCCACCTGTGCATTGAATGTATCTGCATATGTGTCCGAGCGTGTAAGTAGTCGAAGCGGCGCTGCTGGTGTGAATGACTGCGTGGGTGCCAATTGCCGTTGGATAGCGTTAGTGTATTTGATTTCTGTCAGCTGACTCCTGTCTGCTCAGTATCGGCACAATCTCGCTTAGTGCTTTTTTTCGTCCTATATAATGTTGAGCATGAATGAATCGAGCACGAAAGGGATATTGACACTGTATTGAAATAGCGCGACACTTTTCCTTCGCTATGTACAGCCACCTTTCGAGTAAGCTAGTCAGCAGACATTGTCCATTATATGAATGACAAGATCCACCCTATAGCCTTGTTTATGGATCCGACTTGCTTGCCACTTCACCCATAAGGTGAATAAATAGTACTGGGTGCTTGAGAGGAGCTCTGATTTGAGTTATTGAGTTCGCGGATTCTTCTTCGTCCTGCCTGTTGACGGCGAAACAAGTGTGACTAGTGTAGTTCCATTGGAGTTCAGAATGTTCACTCCATAAATACTTCTGTTTTAGTTGATTACCCATCACGAAACCAAGCTATGTATAATTGCATGGCAGATGGAAAAGCAGGAGTGCTACAGCTATAAAGCTGTATACATAGTGTACGTTCGTGAGTGCCATTCGAGGCAAAAAAAACTCGCCAGCTAATTTCGCACCGGTTGCATGGTCAGCCTAGTGTCGACAGCAGAGAAACATACAGTCTGACTTTCCTCCTCAAATATTTGTATATTTCGCTTAAAAATTGAATTAACAAACAAAAATTCTGCGTTCGCTTCTCAAAGTCAATACACTAGTTTCATTAGCAGATCAATGAAACACTGCTAGCTCTTGTTGACATTACAAGCTGATTTGAAACGCTATTACGTGTCTGTAGCGTGATTGATCGTATAATTTCTCTGCGCTTGTAATCTTTCACAGAGAGGAAAGCACTATTGGATTTTAGATAGAGGGGCGTGGGGTGTGTTTTGTGAGGCGCGGAGAAAATTGCCCAGAACCAGCGATGTATTAGATAGATCACATCGGTTATGACTGTGATCTGAACTGTAGCAGTGAAGATGTATTAGTGGAAAAGTGAATGTTTAAGTGCAAGGTACTCGTGAATGATCCATCTCGAGCTGCTGTTGTTGTGAAGGCGAGTTCGGAACCACTATGGAGGTATTGTGCAGTCCAACCGCTTACATTCTCATTAGTGGTGAACACTCACTATGGTGCAGCAGGATCGATGGCAGCCTAATGGCCCGACGAGGTAAGTTGTCAGCGTAACAACTGAGAAGCACATGCAAATGGGAAGAAAACTCGATTATCATTTATGGCCCTGTTGTTTATAAAGGGCAGGGTGGCATTAAATTTTAAACATGGAGTCTTGAGCAAATGAGGTAATGTATATACTCACAAGAGAGGTCTTTTCTAGACCTCAAATAGTAATAGGTACACTAGGAATCAATTTTCAGAAAAATTATAAAACCATTACTATTCGGCTGTTAGTTTGGTTGATGCTAACTTGGAAGTAGTTTGGTATGGCATAGTTCTAGCATTAAGTGTAAAACGAGCACACGACAAGTAATTAGCACATCTATTCGATCTGTCGGTGGTAGCTAACTTCGCTAACATGAAAGTACTTGGCTTCTTCAAAACAGGTTAATGGACTGTGGTTGATTATAATTGTGTTTATTTCCTTTTTATATGTATTCATATATTATTCTCAATGTTTCATGTTTAAGCATCATAACAATTTCTTACAGGCTGAGCTTTTGTTGTATTGAGTTGTCGAAAAAGTATTGAGTTTATATTTTTATATTGCCAAATGATAGAACTAAGCGAAATATTCGTCATTCTTTTGGATGGTCTTCTGCCATTTCTCTGGTAACATTGTAACTCCATCACCATGAAACATAATTTTAGCGTCCCCGAGGAGTTTCGCGGATATCAAAACACGTGCTAGTATGATTGTGCAAAATCTGAGCCCCACATTAGGTAGGTGCATTGAAATATACTTTTTGAAGTTTGCTCAATTTTTTTGTGGGTAGCTAAAAATGCATGTGGCCTGGCATTGCCATAGCGCCACGCAATGTTTTTTCTGTTCCACTATATTTTTTCAGTGAGTTGAGGTAATCTTGTTAGTTGTTGACAGTAGCAACTAATCGTCTTGCCAAGCGGCGGCAACTCATAATTCACGACTTCGTTCCAATTCCACCCTACCTGCACCATTATCTTTTTGACATCAGTCCGAGCTGTGCCATAGACTGTGTGGCACATTTTTTTGTCATTTTTATTTGCACATTATTGTTGCAAGTGATCTGCTTTTCATCTCCCGTGATCAGTTGCTTTAGAAACGGCTGTATTTTGTTGTGGTTCTGTAGTTTTGCAAGTGAAAACATGATCGAATTAACATCGAAATATTGAGCCTTTTCATAGCCAGCTTTCTCTAAGTAATCTAAGTAACTGTTTAATAGTAGATGTTTAGCTCAGGTTATTTTATTAACTCTGTCATCGGTCGACCATTATAAAGAGAATCTTTTACACTTAAATTTCCAGAACAAAAGCGACAGAACCGTCTTTAAGCCGTTTCTTCCGATAGCGCATCCTTACTATAAACAGTACAATCTTTTCATGGGTCTGAAAAAAATTTGTGTCTTTATTGCAATAAAATTCTTACGTATAGCGAGTTTTCATATATAGTTCATTCATCTTTAAGGCATTCGAACAATGTTAGCATATCTACTATTGTTAAATCAGAGCTTTCAAAACGCACGACTCTGATATGAACGGATAAATGGAAACTGTAAGTCATTAAGTTAGTTAGGAAAATGGACGATAGTTTTTCGACTATATTTAAATAATTATTCCTTGAAGCCGTTAGAAACAAGTCATAGCTGATCGTGGTGTGGTTGTTGATTACATCTATGACCGCTTTACTCCAACCAACATGTTCTAATGTAGCTTCCGAGTCAAGCGTAACCATAAAATCGACAAGTTGGGCTAAGAAAGGGACAATAATGATAATAATCTGGACATCGCATGATACGTAATGTTTGAGAAATTTAAGGTAATTTCAAACATTTTTACTTTATTTTTTTTAATAATACGGGCATGGTATTCTAACAAAAAACTCTAGCATAAGTCAAGTGATCTTCCATAGCTAGGTGATAGTAAGACATAAATAAGATACCTACGTTAGGCCCCATAGAAGGTAACACGTGATTTCTAAACAACGATCCGACACTGCTGTTCATTGGGACAAAATAAAAATTATAGTAATTATCATCAGCACAAGAATGGTAGTCACCATTCTAACACATCCCTTTCTTTGATGTTTCTTGTAAACAGTGTGTTCTCTAGCAGAGCTAACAGATCCCCAGTGTCTTGGCGTAATTTACGGCATCGTAGGAAAGTTTCAACCGACGTCTGGTAAGATCCTATTGCTAATTATTTTGGATTTGAAACAACAGCCTTTTAGTATTCATATGGCCTGTATGTTGATCGAACCGCTTATTGAATGGAAAATTTTCGACAGGTTGAGTTTTACGCCGACAAATATTAGGTAGGTACAATCGAAGAGGCCTTCAATTGCCCAATTGTACTGATAACCATATTGCAGAGTCGACTCCATATTTGGTTGTGATCCGAAATGCGTCCATTGTCGGAGTTTTACCAGATCAGACCGACGTGTTCAAAGTTAACCGAGTTGCACTTCTCCCACTTACGACAGAGGGACCAGCAGTGTCGTTCGGCGATCTTGATGTGGGTAACTCAAACTATTATGCATTTAATCACAATTGCCACAAACGATATTAAAGGCTTTTTCATTTATTTAATATTTAAGCAAATCCAAGTAGAGATGTTTATGTTGGTGAATACTGGAAAACATTAATATGTTTACAGAGCCTTTGGTAAAGCTGAAATTTTGTTAATAAATCATAATAGAGTTGTTAGATTATGTGCAATAACATATTAAATAGATAGTGAGTAAAAAAAAAACAGGCTGGAACTAGAAAACACGACTACCTAAACGCTATTACGTCATTATGCTAAACTATTCTGCATCTGTTTTCTAGTTGTGTCGTAAGCATCATGTTGGAGCTTACGCAACAGAGCCAAGCCCTGAACGCAGCCTGGCGGGAACCTATGGGGCTACCACAGGGGGTCGCAGTGGTGCATCTGGAGGTATCCAGAAAACGTGGAGTTCCTTGAAAAGCGCAACCTCTACTTTACAGCACACTGCAGCTGGGGGAACAACTGGTAGTGCTCGCCGGCCTTATGGCGGCGCATCAGGTTCCGCAACCGCCAACAGCATTAAGGAAAAATATGAACAACGTCTTCTCGATGTAAGTTGGCCAACTATCAAATTTAACAAATTTTCAAGCGTTGTCAAATTTATATATATTTATTTTATTAGTATTATTATTAATAATATATTATTATATTATATACTTAATTTATAAAAATATGTGGTAACCATAAAGGTTAGTAAATTATTTTTCTCAAGCTATTTCATTGGACATTTTAGGTTATCTAGGCATGCTTATACAATCTATTTTTTTTTTCTAATCGGAATTGGATTTGGAGACCTCGTGAAAATTTATGCTCGACGGAGAGCGAGCATTTCTGTATCAATTAAGCGCATGAATCGATGAACACTATACACAAAATGTTAGTAGGTGAATGAAAATGTAGACAAAATTTTAAAAACATGACATAGCAGGAAGAAAATGTAAGGGATATACGCTTAAATCATGCTTCCTTTTTTATGTAGGAATTGGTCAAAATGTTTGACGGAACGGAGTCGTTCTACTTCTCGCCAAAAGGCGATCTTACCAATACGATGCAACGCAAGGAAAGTATTCGGCGAACAGAAGCCGAACGCTTGGCTAGTGGCAACAAAGAAGAGCGCGAAAAAAGACCCTGGGCCAACTATGATGATCGGTGCGAGCACGCTAGATACAATTAAGCGGATTTTCTTAGAGAAATAAACCCTTTATTTACTATTCACTAACGAATAACTACAGAACTACCAGACACTTTAAAAAGAAAAAGGGACAAGTCTAACTTCTTTCTTCCAAGTACAACTTAATTCAGATCTCGTGTATTGAAAAAACGCTGTTATGTGGCTTTATAACCATATTGCATACAGTTGTACAGGTTATGGTGAAATAAAGTTGTTTTACAGATTCTTTTGGAACCGTGCGATGATCTCGGAGCTGTTGAACCATTTGAAGCTTGAAGAGGTTTTACCATGGATCACACCCCTTATTCAAGGATTCGTTCAAATTGATCGTCTTGCTATTCAGGTTTGATAGCGTAGGATTATCATAGATATATCCTGAGGATTATATGACGATCTACTGGTGTCTTACATACGTTGAACATTAGCTTCAGCGATAAAAAGTCGGTTGACATTCAGGATACCTGGGTTGTTTATAGAACATAGGTGTGTATATATATGTGCCTCTGGATGTCAACCAATTTATATACACATATATATATATATATCGACAACGGAGAGTTGTTGCTTTGGGACTTTTTGTGTATTACCTAAGTTTTACTCGTGAAATTTTGCTGATTTGTTAAATGCTTTTAAGAATGATGTATGTCTCGCTTAGATGTTGATGCAAATTTGAGCAAATCTACACTTTCTTGACGGTTCGTTCGTGAACCGTTAAGACTTCCTAGGAATAAGCGTAACTATTTGAATTAAAAAAAGTAAATGGATACTACTACAAACATGATGGAAAATCTGTCCATGTCCATCATTATTTGGGGATATTTGCGTGGTGATGATGAACTAGATGCAAGTGCGGTCAATTGACGCAGCAGCGTCAGCTGATTGCGACTGGGGCATTGTAATAACCACTGCAACGAAGTTAGTGCATAAGGGTAACCAGTTACTGGAACTGCACAAAGATAATTAGGGGATCACTGAGATGAAGGAACATAATGATTAAAGCAAAAAAATCAGTTTTGTGTAATTGTCAACTTACAACAGGGTGAGGAGGTTGATGCAAGCAAACCTTGCAAATGCTGTAATTGCTGCAAAGGCCTAGATTTGTCGCGGGATAATTTAAAATGGGTTGAGCGTGAAGCAAGGGCTACAGTTACTTCCGATAATAATAGTAATAATAATAATATTCCTCAGGACGACAATTCTGCAGAGGTCTATCTCACTCAGGATAACGGAACGTGGGTTGAGTGTAACCCACCAGCACAGGTAACTTCGAAATTGTATAGAAATTAGGTTTTTTTTTTTTAATTTACGCTGCGAACTAGCCGGTAGTGGTATTTTATAAAAACTGTGCTACGCATTAAAAATGGATTTGTTTAATGTAAATATTTGCTAAAGCATACCAACGTTGACATAGGAAGTTCATATTGAAGTCTTCTAGATGTAGAATTGCCTTGCTTTGACGACACACTGACATACGAGTTATTTCAGACTCGTCTCTTTAATATGTTTCTGATCTCACGACGAAGTCGACATCGTGCTGGGACTCGTTACAAACGTCGCGGTGTTGACGAGAAAGGAAAGTGCGCTAATTTTGTCGAAACTGAACAGGTCCGTAATCGCTTTTTTGGTGTTGAGCCGATATTTACTTTTGTGTATCTCCGTGTACACAAAAGCAAAACGTCAAATGACGCATTTTGTTTTAGATGTTCGAATTTGGCCGGCATGTAGTGTCGTTTGTGCTCGTTCGAGGTTCGGTCCCACTATTTTGGTCACAGCCAGGCGTCAAGTACCGTCCCCCTCCACAACTAGATAGAGGTGAGGAGGAAACCCAGATCGCTTTCCGGAAGCACTTTGAGCAACAGCTTGAATTGTATGGAAAACAGGTACGAATTCAGGGCAGTTTTTTTACAGAGAAAATAACACCAAATAGGTCAAATAAGCTGATATACAGACATTAGTTAATATTTGCCATGGAAAACTAATACACTTGTAGAGTAAAGCAGAAAACGAAAGTTCCAGTAACTGTAATTACTATTTAGGTTGGCAATATATTGGTCGGAAAAACCTCAGAAGCTTCTATATAATAAAAATCAGTATTTTGGCGATAATTAATTAAGGCGTCGGGAGTCTCAGAATCTAATGTGCATTGATAAAACATTCGCTACCTCACCACAGGTTATTGTGTCATTAGTGGAACAATCTGGTAAAGAAGGTGTTATTGCTCGCGCATACCTTGAACATATTCTTCGGTTCGATTCTCCAAAGCTTGCCTACGTCGCCTTCGATTTTCACGATTATTGCAGGTAGGTTCCGCTCCATTCCAGGTAGTTTACCCGCTTGACTCATGCTATGAGTCAAGTGGGTAAACAGTTTCATATTAGTGAGAATCTTTACGAAAATCACGGAAACATGAAATCTGAATAGAGCTGATGAGTTGGATAACCTGCAAAAAACTTAGTAAGTGTCTGCAAATTAACATTAATAAATTCATTGATGTGTATTTCAAATTCGCTACACACAGACAATTCCAGTGGAATTAAATATTGAGGTTATAGCAGGTTAAAGATCCCAAAAATAAAAGCGTTCTAAATTGCCAATAAGTAAAAAAAGGTGCCAAAATGCAAAATGATTCTTCAAAAAAAAATAGCTGTTAGAGCTCATCTGGACGAGCTAATTGACAGTTGACCTGCTCTTCAAAAAGGCCGTTAAGTTTGATATAAAAGATCCAGGTGTTTCGAAAATGAATTTGATTTTTATGCATCTTTGAGCTTTGAATACTAACACTATTGAGAATTTTGCGGTTTGCCTTTTAATTTACATATATATATATATATATATATATATATATATATATAATAATAATTCATTTCTTGGAAGCCACGTGAAAACTGGCAATAACATAGATCATCGATTTCAGATAGATAAAGCATGAAGTTTATAATCTCGATGGGGTTCATGCGGCGTGAGCATATCAAATAATAGCTGATCTTCGCTCAAACTTCAAAAGCGCACTGTTTTTCTCTAAGATGAGTTTGTTTTTGTTCTAGAAAAAAAAAACTAGCTTTTTTCTGGTGCCAAGAATAGCGAGCGTACGGATGCCCACTATTAGAAGCAGCCCGCCAAAGTTTGTCCGAATTTGAATGTAGTACGCATTCATTGAGTCAACCGCTTTGCGCCTGCATGGATGGGAAAATTCTTTTTTTGTCTTCTGTGTTCCCCAAATGGTGCAGAATGTATGGTAGTGATGAAGCCACTGTGCCATAGAATGGCTTTGCACGACTCCAGTGATTTATATTGTTGCACCTAAAGTGACACTCTGATTGATAAAAAATTAAAAAAAAAAAGCTGTATTTCATATATTGGATAGACAGCTAGAACTATCGAAAAAGAATACGAGACAATTATTGTTCTTTCTTTTTTACGTTATAGGGGCATGCACTTCGAGAACGTAGCGATACTGACCAACAAACTGAAGGTTAGTTAATAAAAAAAAAAAAAAACAACTTACAACACGCTGCTTTTAGCTATTAAGAAAAATAAAACATGTTTGAGTAATATATTTTTTCCACTTAACATTTCTGTACATTACTTAAGTAAAGCTGTATAACAAGTAGGCGAAGAAAAAAATATTTTTCACTATAGTAATTACACGATAATTTTAATTGCTTTATTTATTGTATAAAGTTTTCTTGTTGCGAACGTTGAAATATAAATCGAGTCTTCAAAATCTGTGCTTTATTACAAGATTGCTCTCTTATGATTGGATTCCTGTTGTTACGTCAGGAGGATCCTGGTCTAAAGGACGCATGGTCATATCTGTGGCTGGATGGAGGGGCCAATGCTGTTTGCGAACAGGCGGCTGTGTTCCGCGTGAACTGCATCGATTGTCTAGATAGGACGAATGTTGTTCAAACAGCGATAGCGCGAGATGTTATGGAAACACAGTTTTTACGGTACGTAGGGTCATCTCCGACTTTTGATTTCTCTCTTCATTTTAAGAGCTTATTTCAACTTGATTCAAGTATACTTAAAGGAAAAATCCTAGTATGTACAGTGTTTCTATGTCAAGTGCCTGAATCATGCCGGTATATGAGACTGACAGCAGCACCGCTTGTGTGCATCCATCTATCTCCATAGATGAACACTTTCTATACCTGGCATCGTGACTGTTTATACTAGAAGGTCTGCGAACCTAAGTAGAGTTATGGGGATATAATTAGACGGGCTTCTTTTAAGCGACGTACAAATCAGTAAATCTTACACGTTACTGCAGATTGGGCTTGCTTTCACCGGAGGCGAGCCTTCCGCTAGCAGTTCGTCGCGCATTCCAGGCCGCATGGGCTAATAATGGAGACACGATCTCCCGGTAAGCATTCGTTCATTGGTCATTGGCTCACACAGAACAGTCTTCAACACTTTGCGAATTATGACGATTGATGATATATCACAGCACTAGCTGCCTTTTTTTTACCATAACCACTGACACCCCCGAAAGTTCCCCGTCAGTCGTGTTTACCGAAGCCCTAAATTATCTTGTGGCTTGCATTGACGTATCATTTAAAATTGCAGGCAGTATGCGGGGACGGTGGCTTTGAAAGGTGATTACACCCGAACAGGCGCGCGAAAGCTTTCGGGGCTCATGAAGGATGGATACAACTCGGCTAATAGGTATAGGGTGACAGTGCCTGCGTTCTACAATACAGTGCAATATCTAGTCGATACCTCCAGCAATAGATGATTTTATTCATACGTTTCGAATATATCAGAGTTGACATGATCGGTTTCTTGATAGCTACTCTACAGCAAAGTGGCTTATATTGAAATATCTGCTTCAAGCAAAATTGTTTAAGTATCGTTCGGTCTGTATTACAAAGAGCAACGCTTTAAAATAGAATTATTTTCACCTTTTAAGCCGTATTTTGTGCATCTATTTGTTGACGTGAACATTGTGTTGGCGGTATACGTTTTCATCCTAAAAAATATTGCTCGTCCGAAAATAAAATGATTCGGGCATAGGAATTGACGCGGCTGTCTTGCTTTCGCAGATACTATTTGAATCGTTTTCGGGACGCCTACCGTCAATCGGTAATCGATTTAATGCTAGGCAACCCCGTGGATCAAGAGGACATGGCTGTATCGCCCGAACAGCAACCGTCAGTGGGTTCAGCTGGGCAGATAGGATCCGTGAAACATGCTGTCGTCGAAGTAAGTTTAAACTTTAAACTGACGTTGAAATGGCTCCGTTTGCTTATAGTCCACAGAGGCATCACCTGGAAAGCTACAGACGTGTCCATACTGATAGGTATCTATGCAACATTACAATGTAATTATTTAGCCTTTGGCTAGTTTTTATAGGCTATTCCTCAAGAGTGGTCGCTTAGTACAGGTGTATAGCGATAACGAAAAGTTCAGTGTTCGTGTGTGTTGCTTGAGCATCATATACTGTTCCAATTGCAGAAAGCAAACGCTTCCACCTCTGACCAACCAATATTTTCAGGTGGAGTCGTTATTGGAGGGATGCCAACATGAGCACGTCAAGCAGCTCATTGAAGATTGTAAGAAAATGCTCGTCCCCGAAGATGAGGTGCGCACAGAGAGAGCTTTACAGTTTTCTTGGAAAGCAAAACTAGGTTTGACAATATAGAGCTTGGAAGGGATTGCTACTACCATGTAGGTATTGATGCATAATGTTTTTATAGCATAAGAAATTTTTTAACACACTGCTTCGCAAGGGTCAAAAACTCTCATTTCTCATACTGCTGGAAGTCTTTGCCTGTAAGAAGCATCCAGATAAGTTGTGTACGGTGTTTTAAGAATGCTATTTTCTGCTTGAAATTGGTAGTGTGACCGTAATGTACACGAATGATATTAATCTGCGTACGTCTTCTAATTTCAGGTTTGTTTAGGCGGCTGGGCTCTAATCGACGCAGACCCAACAACTGGTGACGCGCAAGCAACTGACATGGACTCGATACTTTTGCTTACAAATGAAGCGTACTTTGTAGCTGAATATGACGACCTTACGGATCGGATTACCAGGTAAATTTAACTGGCTAAAATTACTTCCGGTTGCCTAGGGATCGTAATGCGTTTAACTGGACGTGGCTTGTGACGGGTCGCGCATGCATAGCGTGTCTGTGTTTTCTGAATACGTCATTTATGCGATAGACAACTAATTGTGCCCCTAAGGCGAAGCCTTGTATTCAACGAATGTTGCTGAAGTTCGTAATTTATAATTTTAGAAATTCAGCTTCATCGCAGAATGTCGACTAACGTTGGTCATCGAGAAGCCCCAATTATGCATTGTATATGGGTTTGTTGTGATGTTTGTACACGCACACACGCGCATTGACGTTGTAGAGCTGTCGGTTTGTTTGTGGCAGATTCCAGCGGGTACTCTTGGAAGACTTGGAGAAGATGGAAATGGGCCCTGAACCATCACTATTTAAGAGTCGTCGTCATTGCCTGCGGTTGCATTACCTCGTCAGTGGACAAGGGGGATACTTCCATATGTTCAGGTAACATAGCCACAAACATCCTAAAGCCTATTCCGGTAGAAACTAACTGCGCTATCAGAAAGCTATATCAGATCTGGTTGTAACTGTGAACTAAATAATTTTGCTGACCTTTTTGAGAAATAACATTTAATCTCGACTTGCCATTTGTTTGTGCGGAGAAATAGCAGGTTAGGCATTATCTTCTTTGTTCTCTTAGATTCTTTATTTCATTTTTCATTTCGAAATCAAATTCGATTTTTTTTATCACTTTACTATAACGTAAAATTGTTATCGTTAACGTAAAAAAAAAATATCGAAAAATACCTATTGAACTTTTGTTTTGAATCAGGAATTCCTTTTCTGGCGTTATTAAACTCTTATCTACACATAAAGCTTGACTCAAATAATTAAAAAAAAAAACTTCTTGTTTGATTTCTGTTTTTTTTCTCTAATTTCAGCGGTCTCTGTCGCAATATCTATTTCATTAGTATTTTCCACGTTTGTAACCTATAGCCTTGCACTATCAATTGCTTTAAACTGCAGGTGTGCCTCGACACGTTTATTTAACAACGTAGCGGTCCCAATAGCATCAGAAGAGGAAGCAATCGAGTCGTTGCGGGCTATTTGTGAAAGCCTCAAGGTGATCCTTTTAGATATTGACTCATAAGACTTCTAATATATTCTACAATAATAATAGTGCAAAATTAATAAACTTAATTCAGTTATATTTATATATAATAGTAAGCTGTATACTGTTACGTGAACTCTTGCCATGCATGTATCTATAGAACTGTTATCTTACCATTAAAGAAATGATATCTGCTTGTTACTCGATTTTGCCCCTATATAATTAAAAGTCGCAAACTTTTAAAAAAATAGATTTAAAAAAATCTATTTTTAGCAACATAATGAAACAAGTAAATAAAACTTTACAGCTTTGAACAAGTTTCTTAAATTCTATTTTAACTATCACTATCTTTACCGTATCGAGTCATTAGCGACGGCTTATTGTGCGATATTATCGTGCAAACTTGAATCAGTTTTCTTAATTCCATCCTTATATGGAACTTTCTAGGCTTAAATATTGGATATGAAGTATTGTGGGTTATAGGGATTATTGATTCTGCACATTAAATTTTCTTAGGTGGCACTTTCGGTAAAAAGTCTCAACGTTCCACTCTTCGAAGGCAAGTTGGAGCGGCGGCGCAGCAAGATGGCTGCCCTGTTGTTCCAGCATGCGGCAGCAGGAACTGGAACTTCGACGGCAGCAGGTGGCGTTGTTGGTGCCGGCAGAATTCCTCCCCAACTCGATGTGCCTCCATTACCCCCGGCTGGATCGCTACCGAGAAATATTTCAGAGGGGCAACTGATGAACTTTGTTGGACAGGTACGAACGAAAAGGGTCAATTGAAAATAGGGTGTGTTAATAAATGCCGTTAAGTATAATATAAATAAAACATAAAAAAGCAGATTTAATATGTTTACAAATCGTACTAAATGCTTACGCCCAGTAATGTAGTCGGCGGTTTCATTATATAGACATAATTGATTATAAGAGCTTAGGAATATTCGTAAAGACCAAATGCCGTGGTGTACTTAGTAGAAATGTATATTTTACCAGTATCCATCGCCTTTTGTCCTGCGCTACGGTTTAAATATTTTTAGGTAGGCTCGCGTGCGCTAAACTCTGTTTCATCGCAACTTTCGCGCCTGAACCCGATGAAACGCTCTGGCCAGGGGTCGGGAGGATCTTCGGGTTCTGTAGCTTCGTCACTTGGAGGTGGTAGTAGCTCGTACGGTGACGGATATGAAGGGGACATCAACGGAGGACGCAATTGCCGTGACAGTGTCGGGGGCTCATCAAGGCAGTGGGGTGGATGTGCGTTCGGTGGATCCTCACAGGTAATAAATAGATGCTTAGGTTGAACTTCACCTTCGAGCTAACAGTGATTGAAAAATACGGGCGAAAGGCTTCCAAACAACAATTAAAAGCTATAACACAAAAATGGGGAGAGTAGTCGGTCTAGTTAAGCACAGTTATGGTGTTCATACGTTAAACTACAGCAGGTTTTTCATGTACTCGAAGGCCTAGGGGTGTATAGCGCATGTTCTATGGCTTTTCATTTTTTTTACAACTCACCCTAATAATAAACTCCTATCCTTGTAAACCAACACTTCAGAAGAATGTTTAAGTAAGAGTGAGCGCTTACATCTGTATGTATGTCGAAACATATTATTCGCATGTTGTGTATAATGTGTGCTACAGGCAATTTTGATGACGGTCGCTGAGCAGGCGGGTGAAGATCGAGTTAGTCCCGAACCTCCGGCGCAACCTCAGACACCACAGGGTTCCGCGAAAACTCTAGGAGCTGCCCCAAATTCAGAGGTCAATAGGGTTGCTATGCGTTTTGATTGTAGATTAGTTAGAAATATTTCCCACAGTTGTATTCTAATAATTATCACTTAAGTTGCAATTATGTTAGTTTCGTAAAGCGGTATATCCGGTTGAATAAGAACGACTTGAGCTGAACTATATTGAAAAAAAGTAGTATTTGCCGGCACTCGAGACGACGTCATTGTATATCCTTTTTCAGGAGATTGTGTCCTTGGAAAGATGCGGATTTATGTTGGCGTGTAATGCAGGCGGAGATCTGGATCGAGCAGTCTCATCGGCCGAGATGTTTTCCCGCCGAGAAAGGGAACGACCCAAACCGCCTAACTATATTTCAATCGACAGGCACGTTTGAATTTGTAACAGTTATTATAGCTAAATTTCTGTGTTATCGTATTCTGATATTCTTTCGTTATTATTGATAAGAACTATATTGATAAAATAGTAGAAAACAATGAACACATGCGTTACTCTTGCGTCGAATTTGCTTAGAAGGTGGTTCTCCTGACAGTTACAAACTAAATGTTGCTCGTCTATATCAGCATAATCCTAGTAGCAGGCACGATGAAAAGAAGAATGTTATTGATAAAAAATAAAATTTTGATTCTGTGTGAAGGAATTGAGTTACCGAGCATGAATTTCTGCTCACCAAAAAGACCATCAATATGTACAGTGACTTTTGTATAAGAAAGCACATTGGCAAGAGAGAATTAAACCTTGAAGGGTGCAATGAGCAAAAAGCCGCCAAGTTGGACTAGGATGACACAAGCCTCAATCACTTGGGTTTTCGTTTCTCGGAATGAAAAAAAAAACTTCTAGGATTCTTATTTTCCAGAAATTGTATAATTTAGGCCAATAGAAGTTGGCGTTCACGATGATCATAAAACGACATTCAGCGACTCGTTTTGGCAACGTACGTTAAAACCTACTATAAATGTTCTTCAGTTTTTTAGAATACTAAAATTTCACTGTTCAAAACAAGATTTTAGTTTTACCCTTTCGGCACGATATTTAGTATTTAAAAAAAAAAAAAAAGTGGTGCAGCTTTAAGGATAACAGTGAATTTTTTCAATTTATAGGACACTAAGCTCCGATTATTCTGAGTGCTCGGACCTGTTGGGAGCGCCCTTTGAAGAACTAAATCAGATGACTGGTAGGTCATGCAACTCTTCATGACATACGAGTGTGTTACATTTGATTTGTCTAATGGTAAAGGTAGGTAGAGCTTAATAAAATGTAATTATTGGCTCACTACTTACGAAGTCAAGTGTCAGATAGTTTGACGTAGAAGTCTCCAACGAGAAAGTTGTAAAACATGCAAATGTATAAACACTGTGAGTCGTTTATTATTTCATTTGTGGAGCTGAAATAAACAAGATGTATTTTTTGTATACTTTCATATACGCGCTTCGTTCGCGTTACCGTTTCGCTCATTGTGACTACACTGACAGATCTTTAAAGTTTATACTTTAAACCCTAAATGATTTCCATATTTGGCAGGTATATATTCAACAGCCCTTATTTTGGGTTCAAGTTCACAACATTTTGAAATCGTTGAAATTTGAACATTTGAATAAAAATTTAGTAAAAAGCGTAGCCAAAACAGAAGAAGAAGTAGTAAGATACAAGATATAATAAGATAAGAAAAACAACAAAAGTGTCGCTAATTTGTTGGTTATTTTTTTTATAGGTTACCTATCCAAATTCTGTAGTAATACTTTTTCTATGACTAAGATAGTTATGCTTAAAATGTTTAACTTGATGTAATAAAGCGATGTCTTGCGTATTTGCTTAGATGACGGCCTTCTGGAAAGCTGCGGAATTTTGGCGTCGAGCTTTAAAGACGAAATTCATGACTCGGAAAGCCAGGTTCTCAGAAGAAAATTGTCACAGGTAAGAGGCGCAAAAATATATCTATTTTTTTTAAAGCAGGGTTCTTCTTAAATGGCAACTCCTGCGCTGTTTATGAAATTTTAATTGTACTAGCTTATTATTTGTTTGTAGGCAATGCTCTAGATCTGAACAAAGTACGGCACACAACAGATCAAGTTATTCCGTACCAAAAAAATACCAAGACATACCAAATTATCAAAGAGCCTAAACAGCCTGCTTTATAAAGAGATATAACACTTCGTTTGAGTTTTGTTAATTTCGATAAAAATGCCTACTTATTCAATAGAATGCTTACGAGTTAAAACTCCGGGATATATGTCAAACAAAGTGTCGCTGAATATCTGTATAACTGGTACAGCCTTGAGTGTACAATAAAAAACGGTAGTAAACAACACTAACACATAGAGTGTATCCTTATGGTATTAATGTATTATATGCCTGAGATAAGCATATATGCTGTATATGCTCTACAATTATCCTACAACATTGGTTGATTCATCTGAACGTTATGTTTATAATAGGCCTCCTCGGGTGGCAGTTCGGGGGGTAATGTAGCCGGCTGCGCGAGCTCGAGTCGATCGACACTCTTCCACACGGGTGTCCTATCCCAATCAGCATTAATTCATCAGTCCACGGCGACAGACGCGTCTAACGTAATTGATGACTTTGTTCTTGACGCGATGCGTAAAACGTCGTTGCAGCAACTTAAGAAAAGGTTTGCACATCCGTTGAAGTCATATTCATCTAAGAGAGACCTTCGTGTGCGTAACTGAAACCTCCAAAGGCCGCATAGTTCACCTAGAAAATAGAAAATTGCTAGCTGAATGTTTTAAAAAAAAAACAGAAATAAGCATAATCTTAGATCCAATCGTAAACTACCAGGAGATATGTAGATCACCTATCCTTACACAATATGTCTATTATTGATGTATAATAAAATATACTGCCCATTCATTCTCGCATTTTATAAATATTTTTACTTAAAAATATTTTCTTTTCGGAGGTAACAGTTACTAGGTAACTAGTGCACTCTCGTCAGGGAGAAAGAATACATTATAAATGGTGATAGTATCTAGAACCATTGTCTTAAAATAGAATCTATAATTACCATTTGCAACTTCCCTGTGTTGGATTTTATTAGCTGGCAGTGTAACATTTTGCGTAGCTTATAGGGCTGTTTAGGGAAGACCAGCCAACCTTAGAAGGAGTGGTATACGTGTGACAGAAGATCAGTCTGATCTTACTGTCTTGTATAGGTCCGTGTAGATCTGATCTTGACAGTAGATCTTCTTCGGATAACCTGACAATGATTTATGTAACTTGCGGTTGACGATAAAGGCATCGAATGAGCCTTAATGCGTCGAAAGAAGCGCTCTGCGCAGCACCCACGATTCACGTTGACCCTGCAATTTCCGGAAGCTGTGCTGGCGAAACAAAGACTGGATACACCTCACAATCACTTTCCGGTGAGTAATTACTTCCAAACGTAATTACTTCCAATATACTTACTAAATGATGCGAAAAAAAAAACGTAGAAATTTTGTATTGTAAACGAATAAAAAAAAATAAAAATAAACAGGCTTTAACCAGTATGAAATTGCTTTTCTCCAGTTCATGAACAACAATTATTATGACAAGGATATTGAAACAGATATCTACTTCAATATCGTATTGGTCCATATCCTAGCGGTGATGTCAAGCTCTTTTCGCATTGTCATTATACTAATAATAATGTAAAAGCAGCAGCGTGCACAAGGTGGGTTTTAAGTACCTCTGTCAAATTGAGGCGAATGTTAAAAATTTAATTAGTAATTTGTTAAAAGTGCTAGATAAAATACAATTGAAAGTAGAAAGTACAGGTCTATAGAGCAGCAGGCTTTACCTAATGTTGCTTTTTATAAATCTGTTCTTTTGTTCAATCAGAGAAAGCTATGGGTGGAGTTCGTAGCGGGGGTATATCAAAATCGACGGATACCCTTGACGAAAGCGGGACACGCGACCTTAAAGGAGACGATGTTTCGGGACGCTGTGTATTTTTTGGAGCAAGGGGGCCGGCTCTGCATCTGACACAACATCAGCAGCAGCAGCAGCAGCAACAACATTCAACTAACTTGTCTGTTTCACAGCTTTCAGTTATCCAACAACAATCACAGGCAGTGGATTCTGAAGGTAGGTCATAAAGACACACACGTTTTTTGTTAAAATTGATTGCATAGAAATTCCAGAGCACATTTTGCTTGAGAACTTTGTTATTGCTATATTATTATGTTCTTGTTTATTCAGCATATAAGCCGTAAAAACGAGTGCCTTGGAAAAAGTATCAAACATTAAGTACTGTGAAAACATTACTACACATCGTCTTCGACGGTAGCTACGGGTTTTCGAATGGCAGAGCGGTTTTAAGAATTTTATATTGATCCCAAGTCTGAAGCAATACGTAGCGTCGGTACCAAACGTATAATTCGAAATAGGTTTGCATTAATAACAAATTACTAAATGTGAGATGGTGAAACAGTAGGAATAAAAATTTTAAGTTTTATCTTTTGCACTGAGAACGAACAGTACAGCCTAAGAAATACAACTGGTAAGCTTCTTGCGTCATTCACGGAAATTACGTTTATTCTAAATTGAATTTTACTCATATGGGTAGGTCGCATGAAGACATCACATTCAGAGAGCGCGCTAACTTCACCAGGGGCACTAACAGGAGGCGGTGCTTCGCCGCTCAAATCTCCTTCAACCCCAATACATATAATCAAAAAGGACTTGGTTCTGTCTCCATTGTCCAAAATCGCAAAAGTAAGTAGCAGGTGTTATTTTATTATGAATAACAATGTGGGATTAGGTGTCGGTCCTTATTGTCTGTCGTGATAATAAACAGAACCATACAATATAGGCCTATCTTTGTCGATAAACACTATATTTTACTGTGTTATGCTAAACATCCGTTTAGGTACTCCACCGTTGTCCTCTTTGCCTTGTTAAATTCAGGCCCATTGCAATTAAACAACCTTTGGGCTATCGGTGTCTTCCTACTTTTTGTTGTCGCAAACTGAAACAGACTTTAATCCTTAAAATTTTTTGTAAATATTGGGCAAAAATGTTTCTCAGAAATGTTTTATCGTTTTTTTGAAATCAACGACATACAATAGCATAGCCGTTGTTGCACGAGGTTACCCAGCCCGACTAAGTATTCAATAGTTGTACTATGCATGCTGTGTTAGTCCTTGTGCATTGGTTTTCTGCATATGACGGAAGCTAAGACACCCTCTAGGACCCCGCACGCCACGTTAGCGATACCGGTCGCTCGTTAGAGGAATCTGCCTTTAAACCCTTCTTGTGGATAGGGAATAAGATAGTCTCTCCGAAGGTGTCTGATCGCCTTTATCGAGCGATCTTTGAAAAACTTATGAGAACGGGATGCACACTGACAGCCCAGACTTCTTCACTACGATAGACGGCGATCCATCCTGCATTACTCTCGCTTTCAACGTTAGTTTTTTCAGGTGTTGCCAGACGTTTAGTAATCGTGTACAGCATTCGGAAGTGGTTTTTTTAGGGTGGCACATGGACTGATCGGATTTTGTTGCAGGCATCTGTTCGACTGTTGCATACGGCTCCATCAAGTGTTCGCTGGAATTTCATCCATTCTTTATAGTCTGCCGTGAAGACTTCGTTGGCTTGGCGTATTGCGCTTCTTCACTATGAATTTCTTATGAACGTTATTGTATACGCTTTTAAAGTTGAGCTTACGCTGTGTAGCGTATTCTCCAAGAGCACATTGTCTTGGCAATTTCCTTTTGTAGAAAGAGAGCGGGATCTTTATTTTTAATCTCTGTAACAGTTTGAAACTACTTTTTGACCTGCCCAGATATTACAAGCATGTAAATGGTATTCACCAGCTTGAATCTCTTTAGCAGACCCTGCAGATATGCTACCAGTAAATTAGGCATGTCGCTTGATGTCGCACAGTTCTCGAAGAAGAAAACCTATCTTTTCATCGTGGTGACATTTTTCTTGTCGCAATATAGGGTCTAAGTTAGATATTTGTTTTCAGTAGTCATTAACGATCCAGTGATTTGATCTTTGGTAGCGTCTTATTTCTTTTTTTATTTCTGAAATGCAGTCCTCGTTACGGAACACGGAAACAGAGTACGGAAACAGTTGTTTGGTGGTAGCGAGCCACTTCTGTTAATAATTGTGCAAGGCCTTGTGCAGCATAGATTTCTAGTAGAATGTTCTCTTTAGGCGTTTCCTTAGCTGTTCCAGGTCTTTGGAAAGTTTTCCGGTCTATTTGCGATTGACTGAGATAGCCCGCTATTGCGTTATCGTGCTGTTGAGTCCTTGCAGGTCCTCGGTTAATTTTCTCATGTGATTTGACAGTTTGAGGGCTGGCCTGGTCGATGAGAGATAAACCGATATTAACCGAGTACTTATATAGGAAAAAGTAGTATCGCAGGGAAGCATGTCAGGTGAAAGAGCGATCGCTTCGCCACATGGAATGCCTTTCCTTATTCAAATAAGCACACCTTTACCGCGTGATTAGCTTCTTTTAATTGTCTAATTCAGCTAATTATACTGATGACTATGTTTATTATAAACTGACTATTAAAGATTTTCGTTTGTCATGGGAATTGAAGTGTATGATGTGCTTCACTAAAGCTGGTATTTTCTGGTGCCTTTTTTGCGGGTTAGACATTATTTTATGTCGCTAATAATAGCTCTCATAGTCAGACTATAGATAGTGAGTCGACTAATTTCTAAGATAACACAGGCCAGACTAGAACTTCGTGTAAAAGCACTTATTTCAATTTCTTTTTTATTGTTAATCTGTTAGCTCTTGACTTTATACTACAATCATTGCTTTTCTTCTTGCGACCTGTTCTAGGGCGTTCAGTCATTCGGCCAAAGTGTTCTCCTGGCTAAGAGTCCCTCGCGATCATCAGCAGCCGCTGGTAGCGGAATCGAGATGACAATGGAGGAAGCAGCGGCGCTAGCACAACGCAAAGCCAATTGCAAAACCCTTATTATCGAAGTATGATCCAATAGCAACTGGCATATAGTATATAAAATTCAACATAGGCGCCAACAGTATTCAGTTGGGCAACAATCTGGACATTTCGCGACTTGGATAATACAGAGCCAGAATCGCCTATTTGTTTACCAGTAGAGAATCAGCCGCCCTATCTTCTGTTATTACAGAAATCTGTTGGAGATAAATAGCCGAGATGCTATTATAGCTAGTGAGTACGTAATGTCTATATATTCAAGGAACAATCGGTAATAACACACGGAACACGCTTTCCGGGCTTAATATATATATAGTACTTGAGTGTTTCGACACACGGCTATGAATATCCATATTAAATTCTGGTGAAATCAGCCTCTGTACAACAGCGTATTCAAGGGTTCAAGTTCAGATATTCAACGGAGTACGTATACTATAAGCTATATACGCACTCGCTGGATAATCACTCATTATATTTAATTAGACTTTACTTTGTAGTATTTGACCAATGTCTAGCTCAAATTTGTTTGTCGTCGCGCAAGTATTTATCTAGGTGGTCAGTAGTTGTGGATATCTAGTAAATCCAGCCGGATGGTTATAGGTGTAGCGGAGGCAGGACCAATTGGGTGATTCTGTCTTGAGTGTGTCTTTCGATCAAATCGCGTGAGCGTGAAGCGATAAGGTGAAATCTGCTGGATAATGCAATGATGATATGCGTTTCTAATGAATTCCCCTTGATTTGATTCTGAGGTTGTACTTATTAGATCGTAGATGGATAGAGAGCAATACGGGAGTCGGGAGTTCGCACTGATGAAGAAAACATTTCAAGTATTGATTGGCTAGCAATACTTACAGCTATCCAGTTTATTTTTCATCTACGAAACATTGATTTCATCAGACTGTTAAATTGAGAATCATCTTGTAGGACATACGGCCCCCAACCGTGCCGTATGTCTAGTGTTCTTCCAGACGGCTGGAAAGATTGTGTGTTCGTTTTCTATGCCCACAACTACTTTCTGTGAGCTACTTCACAGAAGGTAGTTGTGGGCGCTCTGATCAGTTCTACTTTCTGAAAATTGAGACAAATTTTCCATTGATGGTTATTAAATGCATTCCATTCATATATATTCACTTATGTCAATTACGAGTATGAGGTGCAAAGTGAGAAAGCACATGTACAAGTTTTTCCTTGCTTTATTTGTGTTAATTAGAAACTAGTTACAAGGTTTAACAGGTAACTTATGTGTCAGTTAAGTGATAACAAGTAAAATTCTTTTCTCATCATCCGCACGATGGATTCTCGGTCGGTTCAATCGGAGCGTCGCTTGAGCGAATCAAGGACTCCTAAACAACAATAATGGCTCCTTGCTCTAGGCTTTTGTTAACTGCCGGCTAGCAGGTGTATCGCGGAGCATTTTGCTATCTATTTCAAAATTAAAGCTTTTGCTTGAGTCATTTTATTAGGACACATAGCCGAGTGACGACACTTTGGGAAATTAGTGGGGAACAAAACGTTTTCCTCGTTTCTCCGTCGCCGCTTGTTAAATTTTTTTTCTGTAACATTCATTGTTCAGTGTAGAAATGACGTACAATTGTCTTAATATGCGTGAAAACAATTACGTTGTCGTAAGCAAGACGTCGTTATCGTTATGTTATTAAATAATCAGCGGTCGTCTTTCGATCGCGCAGCGAGCCATATGCCCGCTGAATGGAGGTTTCAGTAGCGTATTGGTATTAATATATGCGGGTAAAGTATTAGTTTACCCGACAAATGATTGTTTTGTTGTTGTTTGCTGAAGAAGACAGCTTTATGTCGAAACAATCAACAAATAGTAATACTATGTTTAATAATTGCAATGAACTCATATCTATGAAACGTACATTCACAAGAGTACATTCAATTTAAAGGAAGCACCATTTATTTTTCCGTCTGTGATCTTGCTTTGTTGCTAGTTTGTGTAATAGTTTAAGATATACACATATATATATATATATATATATATATATATATATATATATATATATAGAATGTATAAAATGCTCATATATGCTATTATTCTTAAACGATTAGTAAAAAAAATTACCCATTGCAGAATCTGCATTTTCCAATTAAAAATTGAAAAATTAACACACTTCACGTGGGGACTATATTGTAAAGCGTTCTCTGAGTCGTTTAAGTTGTGTGCAAGGCTTGTCTCCAAGTTATCTGATTTAGATTCCGTTAGAAGGATTGCATAAGGTGGCTCGAAATCCAACAACCTGGGCTCGAACGATAGATACAAACGCAATACGTTAAAACAACACGAATATGCTGCCGTGATGCTGACAATGATGTATAATAATAATAATACTAAGACTAAATAAATCGCCTTGATGCCATCGAATACGTTGTGAAGTTTATGAATGAATTTATTTGATGGGGTATATAGTCAACAAATACACGAGTTTCGTCTGTTATATCTTATTCAATCCTTATTTAGCCATTTTATCGATTTGCCTGCATTTTTGCCGCACTTTTGGGATGCGATTCCACGCCAGGTCGTTTTAGATTTATCGTAATGCTAGCATTTCAAACCAGAGATAGAGTACATTCACCATTTAGTGGGCCTGCATGTGTTGAAAGCTGTCAAAATCGAGCCATCTCAAACCGGGCGTCCATTATATCAGTCGGATCTGCAATTATGGCGCAAGCAGAGACCTATACCAATGGCGTCTGTAGCCTGTGTTTAGCTTGAACAAAAGGTTAGGGCTAATCGAAATTCACCGGTAGATGGCCAGTAGAAGTATTTACTCTTGAAGGAACCATGAGGTATAAGAATAATTTGGTCTTTCGCATCGATTAGACAGTATTTAATTCAGTAAACATGTGCTTTAAATCTAGTCTGTGTGTACAGTGGAGCAAAAGATAAAGACCTCGTCTCTTGCTTGCCCTCCAGAGCTTTTGGTACATCATTATGGATGCAACCTCAGCCGCCTCAACCAGTTCTTTGCAAACTGGGCAGCTAAAACGCGCAATGCGTAGCGTAGCACTGATTCTCCATCCGGTACCCAGGTTTGGTTCCAGGACGATGTCAACTACAAGAAAAGCAAGGCTAGAAGAGCCTTGAGCAGCTAAGACAACAGTCCTCTCAAAAGGGGCTAAAAGTTTCCTACGACTTTTCTGTACGTCTGGACACTAGCATACCCACCTATAATCTAAAATTTTAAAAGGGATCTGAAACCTGAAGAGAATTTCGATCTAACCTCATCGTGGCCTCAAGGCCTGCGTTATGCAGTTGGAATAGAAAAGGATCGTCAACCTTTTCGACGTCTCTAACTTCTAGATCATTATCGATCCTTAATGTTCAATACTTTATTGGGCATCCATATAGATGACAAGCCTCTGTCTACTCAATTAAATTTTAGTAAAACATGTTTGTATTGTAAAAGATTTGTTTTTAGAATGAACACGGCTAGAACTGAAACGATATATTGGGCTACAACGTATTGCCCATCCACTGGTTTTTACAACAATGCCCTCGCATTTTGTTGCAATATCAAGTTATTCGTTTTAAGGACAACTGCATCGAGGGTCTTGGCTGGGCTACCTAAAGTTTCATCATTCAAATGATGCAACTTTAGGTGGCCGTATAGGCTATGTAGTAAAAGTGCGCGCCACAGGCCTAATGAGATCACCTTTCTTTTCAGCCCAGTGGATCTGAACGACCAGACGGAACGAAGGCATGGGCCCTATTTTTGTCGGCTCAATGTATGATCTTAACTGACGACTCTACTCATAAAAGTCCACTGTCGTTCGAAAAACTTCTTTGATCAGAAAACGGTCCAGCTCAATAATGTCATGAAAATTAGGTGACTAAGGTCCTTCAAGATTGACTACAGCAGTGCTGAGAGCGAGACGGCCCTTAAAAGCATTAGCTCCATATTAAAGAGCCCTCTATAACAGGCTTCGGTGTATTACTTAACGTTGCTTCCTGTTAAAGTAGGAAATTCAATACGAGGCACCTAAAGAGACCAAGAAGGAGAAGTCTAAGTTTTTACTATTGGCTCAGAGGGTGCTGACGTCAAGATTTGAACCTAGATCAACTCATTTCCCTCCGGTTGGTGACTTACTACGCTGGCAGTGTGCCTTTTGCGGGCCAGAACCACTGGCTCAAAAATCCTGCAACGTCTCCTTGATATAACGTCATAAGTGCTGCTCAGAATGATCTGTGGATATTTACTGTTCAATTCCCGTTAGTACGGTTGTCTGTTGAAACCTACGTTGTCAGGGCACATTAGTGTTCAGGTGTCAAAAATCGCAAAACATATACCTTGTTTCGAATTTGAACATGGAAAAAGGTAGTGGCATATATTGTTCTTTGGAAGGTTTTATCCTGTAAACGTGCTAAACTACCTCGAAATGACTAGCGTAAGCTAGAATAAATATGAGCGACGATAATTTCAGAAACTTGCTTCGAGGCCCTTAAACTATGCTACAAGTTATAGTCAGCTGGAGCCGCCACGTAAGCTGGCGCACAGGACGTTCAGATACTTTTCAGTATATAGCGGAGGTTTCTGAGTGGCTTGCCATACTGACCATGAAAAGCGAGCATGCGGCCACAGCTGGTTCGAATCTTAACGTTTTTGACATTATGACTATGAACTATTTCTAAATAACAGGAATTATAGTTATAAAGGAAAAAAATAGGCTGAAAGCTTGCATGAGTACACTACCCTTTGTGTGTTCAGTGGATAAGTTTCCCTATGTGGCTGTGCCAGGAACTGTGCCAGTTCTTGTGCGTGGTGGATGAACATAGCGTGTTTCAAGCAACTGTGATCCTCTGATATAACTGAAAACATAATCGGCCGCACGAAATCCAGTTTGATGAAAGTGAATAGAGACAGGTTTTACCTAACATTTCATTGAGGTATTTAAATGTGTTTTTTTTTTATCTCATTATTAAGTAGTTAACTCACTGAGTTATTAATGTTATTGAATGTTAATAATAACATATATATATATATATATATATATATATATATATATATATAATATATTATTTTCTTATATATATATATCATATATATACAAGATACTATAATATCTTATATCGTATAACATTATCTTACAATGTTAGTGAACTGAATCCTAAGCGAGGTCGAGGCAGCCGCATTTTAATGTGGTATGATTGTGTTTTTGTAGTTTTTCTTCAACATTTCTTATCAATTATTCTTCGTTTCCTTAGAAATTTTCCACATCGACAAAAAGGGACTTGCTACAAAGTTAAATACATAGAAGCTCGAAATTGAAAGGGATTGTTAAGACGTTCTTCTTCGACCAGTAACGGTTTGTCACTCAGTGTCTGAATTTACATATGATAGAACGAGCATCCACAATAGGTCGCGTTCTATTAGGGCAGCTTTTAAACAAATTTTTGCCGAAAATCGCACTAGCAATGCGACGTTATATAGTAACTTTGCGTAAACATCTGGTGACAAACTTTCAGTCGAGATTGCTAACGAGGGATGATCGTTGAGTCGAGCCCAAATCGAAAACACGCAAACCAGCTTCAATCTGGGCAGCGAGGGTCGGGTGGATGAAAGGCGAGTGTTATGCCAAACGTTTTGGGTATCAATCACGCTAGGCTAGCTACAGTAGCAAACATGGCTAGTTCCTCCTCCGGGACGCATGATATCTTTCTCAGTTGTGTCTGTCCGCTTGACCGAAGATTATTTCTGGTGCAAGATAGCTTCAACAGGAACG